GGGAGGATAATCAAAGGCTATCATCATTAAATGCTTGAAAAAAAAATGTTTGAATTTAAATTGAAAGATATCGTTTGAGCTACTGAAGTGGACTAATAGTTGTTTTTGGAGTTTAAACTTAAATCGTGGTCTTCATTTTTCTTTGGTCACAGCTGAGAAGTATTTTAAGCGACTAAAGCGGAGTGGAGTGTAAAATTGATATCTGATTAGTACTATATATGTACACAAAAATTAGACGGGGCTTAATATATATTTTTTATTCGGTAAAGTTAAGGACAAATTTACGAGGGTTTAAAAACCAGCATTTGTCACAATAGTGTTTATGCTATTTTAGTCGCAGTGGAGTAAACAGTACGAGTTAATGATATGTTTATGCTTTTAGTTTAAAGAGATTGCGATATATGGTATATATAAACATAATAAATTTCTCGCACTGGGAATAAGTGGAGCAAAAATGATTGTAGAATGTTGAGAAAAAAACAACATTTATTTTTGTTTACAATAATAATAAAATCTTGATTGTCTTTTGATTGGTTGACAAGGGTGAACATTACGATAGTATTTGAGCTGTCTACAGAGCAGTTTAAGTAAACAGACTATAAATTTCTTTTCAAAACAGATAAACGTTTAAAATCAAAATGGTATTAAAGAGAGACCGGGGACGGTATTTTACACGCTTGTGGAAATATTGATTATAATTGGAGTTTAATAGTTTTATCAATTCTAAAGCAGTGCTAATTGAAAACAAAATGAAAATGGTTGTTCAGACTAGTGGATGGATTTTAAGTTTTAAGGATGTATTGAAGTTGGAAGTGAACCTGCATAAGGTAGTTTAATTTTTTATAACTTTTGCAAATTTTTTTTTTTTTTTTTTTTTTTTTTTTAAGCTCACTCTTGTTAGTTTGTTTTTTTGTCTCATTGGCACTTTTTTCCTTGAAACTGCATGATCAGTGACATTGCTCTTTCATGGGATTTCTCTCAAACTTTTTTTATCATCTTTGCCATAAAACTAGGTTATTAAACTCAGTGAAAGGAATAGTTTATTTTTGCATTTTTATAACCAAATTTTAATTTTTAAGTGTTTCTAAATTTGTCATCTTGATAGCTTCAAGGAGTATAAACTGTGTGTTAATGATGCATATAAATTTACTGTGTGAAATATCTTAACAACATAATACATTTTGCATGAAAGCTCGATTATTCTAGAGGTTGCGTGAGCATAATTTCATAAATTTCTATGCAGTTATTATCAAAATGATACCAGATATTTTATTTCCATTTTTTTCCCCCCAAACATAGGTTAGAAATATATTTTGCTACATTTTCATTTGCATGTTACACGAAATAACCTTCAGTTTAATGCATGGTTAAATGGACTTAGTGGCGACAGTTACACTTTTTTGAAACAGAAAGCAATGTGAATTTATTGCTATTAAAGCCCCAGAACATATCTTTTTTCACAAAGGAAAAAGTTTTTATTTCGTATACTATCAAATGATTTCGCTGCATGAACTAGATCGATGAAATGCTCGTCAATGTCGGAAAGCTATCAAAGGATAAAAATGACGGGATGATACTTAATAGTGTATACAAGTCAATTTTTTTTTATAATATGAACACTTTAATGTCAGTAACTGCAATATTCAGGTGGCAGTTCGTTCTTTGATCATGGTCACGCTTGAGCGCAAATATGCGTAAATATTTCATTAACACGGCAGGGAGCAAAAATACATGCAAAAAGAAAACAGGAATAATTAAAGGGGTCTTGCGCAAATGTACGATGATGAGTAAGATTAATTCATGATTCATGGAATGGATTAAGCGTGTTTCACAACCATTATGATTTTTGTTGCCTTTGTTCTTTAAGTCATAATTTTGTAAGTTATTACCGCTAGTTGGGGAGGTGGGGAGGAGAAAGCAGTCAAGTGATTGCATTTATCAGTTTGATTCGCAGGTAACAGTAATGCATGGTGAGAAATCATTGACAGAGCTTAAGCCTTTAATGGAGCTAAGGTGGTAGAACTTTGTTTTCTGCGAGCAGGATAAATTTCTTCATCTAGGGATTCAGAACAAAATAATTTAAGCAAGGAAGCTATAAAAGTCTTCCTCAAAGGTGACTAAATCTTAAGATAATTACAGCTTGAAAGGGGCTACAGCAGAAACTTCAGGAAAAACTTGTTGTTAAAGTTGATACAATCACTGCCAGGATTATTGTATTATCAATTTAACATGAAATGTTTTTGATAAAGTTTTGTTCATTTTGATTCTTATATTATTAAATTGCACTGCTTGACATTATAATGTAATATACTAATAAGGTCATTGTGGCCCAAGGTAAATTGTCTTACTAATGGGTTATTGCCCCTTGATTTGGTATGACGAGCAAATTTCTGACTTGAATATCGTGGGGGGTCACTTTTTACACATGTTAATCTGCAATAAAAACAACTGTATTATCATTCAAGCGAAAGTAGTCATTTTGTATTTAGTGTGGACAATCATTGTTAGTGACCAGACATGGCTTCTGGCAAAAGTTTTGTTGAGATCCAATCATTTGATAAGGAAGTGTTGTATCTGATAATAAAAGTGTACAAAATCACTGTCCTGTTTGTTTATCCTTTACAAAAGCTGTTAGTAATCCAGTTTTGATCAATTTCGTAAACATTCGTCCCCAGACAATAAGGAGATTAAAATGGTGGTTTTATTATCAACAGGAAAGGTTTAAGCTGACCAAATATGAACATAAAAAAAACTGTACTATGATCATACAATATGAGTAATCATGATAAAACAAAATTTAATCTTTTGTCTATATGTGTGTCCGTTTGCGTGGGGATAATTTGTTTCTTTTGAAAAGTACATGAATAATGACTAGATAGATTTTTACAGTTACAATTGGATGATATTAGTCCACTGTGATGTGCGACACTGGTCTGTGTTGATATTTCATCTATGATGTCAGTGGTAAGATTGTTGTGTACAAGACAAAAGATTTGTGGTTTTTACTAAAATATTATTGTTTCATCCTATCCACATTGTGGTTATTTTAATGTATTGCTGGTAGTGGAAAATTAGTTCAGGCCCACATTGTTATTGGGTTGTTGTTGTATTTAAGAAGCAAATACACCGCTTAGTATTAGAACCATTGGCTTAATTGGCTGCTCCTCTTTTAATCTGCTCGACCAAAGCATTTTTCAGGTCATGTTGCTATATATTAGGCTCTCATATCTTGAAATTCCCATTTCATTACATTAGACAATTAGTTATAAATATATTTATTTAAGCTCAATTTCAAAACAAGTTTTTGCAACTTGTATTACTTCTTTTTGAGTCTGATTCCTGGAACTAACCAGTACTGGTGTCATATTAGGAAAAATGGTTATTGCCCAAGTATGGTTTGAACTCAAAGTCCTTAGGTTGAGAGGCAGACACCTTAACCACTAGGCCACTGCTCTTGTCTGATGGACACTTAAAAATTCAGTGCAGAACAAGTCTGTTAGACACTAAAGAGGCTATAATAGGATTAAAATAATAGTACAGGTTACATGATAAAAAGATATATAGATAACAGTTGTATATTAATTAATTTTTATTGAACCATTTTAATGATATTGCATGATATATTCATATTTTTCAATTATTGATTTGAGATGTAACACATTGAAGCAGCTGTGAAAATCTGTCCTGAAGGTAGCATTACTTTATTCACAAGTCTTGAAGTGTTTATTTATTGCTCTACAAGTGAAATAAACTGTAAAAAATAGAGGAGAGCTTTTACCATTGTCCTAAAGTGGTACAAATACAGTCATTCTGTTAATTAATGTTATCATTCAGGTACTCTATTGATGAATAATAATGTAATATTATTACTTTCTTTGATGAAGAATTTATAAACCACTTAACCACTTACTGCAAGTTATGAAGTAAATGGTAGAAACATTTTTACTTGTGTGTGAAAAGCTGCTTTGCGTTCTTTTAGATGATTTGACAGATTCCTTCAAAGTCTATGTTTCTGGTTGCACCATGCACTAGAGAAGAAAACTTTCCCAATTCTGCAGCTGTTGACAAATCATTGATTACTAACTAGTCTAATAGCTGCGATAAAAAATAACATGAAATTATCAATCCCAAATTATGTCCTGAATGTACAAAATTGTTTCCTTTTTAATTTGATCAGAAGTAAATGTTGTAATTATTTATAGAACAAAAACGGATATTTATAAATACTATAATTGTGATGGCCCGTTAGTAGAGACTGAAGCTTATTATTTCTTCTTTTTTGTTGCTAATGAATTAAAAAAAAATCAATGCGGATGGTTGCAGCGTATGACTAACTGAAGGTATGAGTTCATATCGGAATTATAGCATACGTGCAGGCTCTTGCCATAGACTAGGAAACTCGGAGCTTAGGCTTGGGAGTAAAGTACAGATCAGGGAAAAATATACTTTTCTCTCTTCGCAGTTGATTGGTTTTAATCATCTAATCTTATCATAATTATCATTGACCAGTATCTACTGGGAGAAACTTCGCCACTTTTCAAGTGACTCACATTGTCGGAGCTTGTTCTCCTGTAATAAGAAAATTGTTATAACATAATGTTCAATTAGTCATAGATTCTTCTTACTGTTGCTCTTCAGTTTCTGGAGTTATGAAAGGTTGGATTGGTACATTGTTTCTATGCAATGTGTTGTAGCTGTGGAGATATTTTATTCTAAATATTTGTTTTCTTATTGAAAAAAAAAATTAAAAAAAAAGAATATTTTTCACAATTTTGAAAATGATAAAGACAAATATTTTGTGTCTAAAATCTTTTCTTTCTTTTTTTTCTTTTTTTTTTCGTTCAAGTGTGTCTAGAAGATCTGATTCTGGTTGGACATAGATAATGGCGATACTGTTTTCTTTTTTTATATAAATAGAAAATAAGTTTATTATTATTGAAAAGTAACCAGAAGCTTGCTGTAGATATAAAAATGTAATAGATGTTTTCTTATATTTTCAGGTAAATGGCCGCGATTTATCTCAGGCATCCCATGAGGAGGCCGTAGAAGCATTCCGTACTGCAGAAGAACCGATAGTGGTCGAAGTTCTCCGTCGTGTCAATAAAAATAAAATGAAAACACGGTCAACACCAGCCATGGTTTCAATAGGGACACAGACAGAGGAGGATATCTATGGATATAACCGACCCCCTACCCCTCCACCAGCTTTCTACCCATTTCCATATAGCGGGTAAGTTTTTGTTAAACGTGTAAAATTTGGACCAATTTTCAGCAATATATTATATACCAGTACCATTCCAGTATTTGGTTGCCTTACAGCTGAACAGTGTACTTGTCTTGTGAGAAATGTAATGCATTTGGCTTTTCTATAAAATCGAAATATGTTTTTAATAAAGAGAAAACATTGATGGTTTAATGAAAAATTCTCAAGATAGGTTTTTGGGCATATTATGTATATCTAAACTAAGGCATTGTAATACAAAGCAGCTTGTATGATACACATTAAATAAACTAATTCATAAAGTCTCAAATGGATTAAAGATAAAAATCATTATGTCTTCATTAGTGTAATAATCTATGAAAATCTACAACAATTCATTCATGTTATTCAGAGAGGAATTGAGTTAATATTCTAAATTGATTCACAATTAGACCATTAGGTCAGGATTAAAACATTCATTTAAAACAAAGGGTTCTTTTAAGATAGGTTTCAATCTGTTAAAAGATAAATGACATACAAAAATGAATTATTATAAGATAGGGGGACCTTACCTGCCGCATTTGGCAAATCAAGATGAAAGATGTCGCCTAAATCGTTCGGTTTCGGAAGTTTTAGTTACATCAATTAATTCATGCAAAATAATGATATGTAATTAGACCCGGGTAGATTGTTATTATGTCAATTTGATACCCATCGGTAGTGTAAATTGCGGTATCAAATTCGCGCGAAAACTCAAAAATGGATGTAAAAACACCTGTAAATTGGCTACTAGACATATAAATCGGACTTGTATTTTTACGCTCAAGTGATGGGTTTTTTGTTTGACTGACCATACCATTAAGTTGTATACTTAACAAGACATATTTGGTAATGCTACTTTATGCAAATTAGATATCACATATCTGAAACAAGTCTAAATTACATACAAGATGAAAGTGTTTTCCCTTGGTATGAATTAAAGGTCACTATATAATTCAACATTTGAAATATGCACTGCACGCCTCTTATGAATTGTTGGAAAGTACATTCTACTGTCAATCATAGAGAGGGAAATTTGAAGCCAATTTGATGACTTGCATTTTTAATTACGCCCAAGCATGCTGATAAGATTTTGAATGCAAGAATGTTTAAATAACTGTTTTATTAGGATTTGGAAATGATAATTTTATAAGGTCAGATTCAAATAATTAATGTAATTCTTTAGATATATATAAGGTATTCTGTTCTCAGGTATTTGTGCAAAAACACTTTATGTCAAAAAGAACAAAGCAGGAGGATGTTAGAATTTTATTTCAATAATTAATGAATATATTGGTTCGATTTATGCCTAATGGAATATATTGTTTAGATTTATGTCAAAATGAACATATCTACAGTAAGATTTATGTCAAGCATATCCTAAATAAAATTCCTCTTAGAATGAACATATCCGTAGTTAGATTTTAAGTTTCCTTTGTCGGAATGAATAGCAAGACAAATGTTGGATTGTGACAGTCGGAAAAAGAAAGGAATGTTAGAATTAATGTTAATATTACGTGATTAAACTGATCTAGCCAAATGTGCGGCACGGATAGGTGGCGCTATTGGTTTGATATTTGAAACTAGAGTTGTCTCGGTAACTAGATCCCTTACATCATTGACAAATGAGCAAGAAGAGATGCTCGTATCAATGATAAAAAAAACCTTTTTTCGGTGGATTTATGGATGTCACGTTCTGATTACAAACAGATTAAGTTCCCCCTTTTCTTATTATAAAAACCAAAAAGATGGAAATTTTCAAAGATTGAATAGATTTGCAATTGTTTGTTTGATTTGTCGATTCAGTTTTTAACATGAATAGGTCTGGGGAGGGGTAGTCATTTGATTGTCACTCTTATCTTGTGGTAGTTTGCATTCAACTTCTTTTATCATAGGTATCTATTACAGTAGGAGATTTTTCGGGTGGTCTGGGTTTGAAGTTGAATAACAAGGTGAAATTAAGCCAATAAAATGTCCACATAATTGATCTGAGGCTTCTAATAAAATTTCAAGAAGTAAATGAAATTCTTTTGACCTACTGGAAAGTGATCGAGACACTTGTCTATTTCTATAATTGAGCAAGGTCATTGTATCCCCCTCTCTATCTCATACACAAAAAATGTATAAATATAAATTGATAAAAACTGTATTAGAGAGATTTTAATCTTTTTTACATTCAAAAGGGTGCTCACAAAAGAAAGATAAAAACCTTGAAAAAGTTGAATTTTTTTTTACCTGTTGTTGGACTTTATCCTTTTTCTTAACAATCACATTCCTAACATTTCAGAGTTGCTTTTAATATAAGTACTTTTAAAGTCCCCATTAAGGTCATCTTTATATTTAGATTTTATGCTATTTTGAGTTAAGAAAGGAACTTGTTTATTTAGAGATTCTACCATTAATAAAGTTGCACTTTTTGGGTTCCTCTTATATTCATTATGTCATTAAAATGGTAATAAAAATTAGATTTTGGCACAATAGCTTATGTATTCAGACAAGATACAAAAGAAAATGTTCGTAATAAAACATCGGTTATTCTCGTAACTCTGCAAGCTTTGACATCATTTACAGTTAACATAAACCATCTCATCAAATTTGCTTAACCTCCTTAATGCTTTACTTGAATAACTTTTGGAGCAATAATGTCTCAATCAAATTGCTGTTTTTATAAACCACAGGATTTTTATCCGTCATAAAAAAGAAGGAATTTGCTCATAAGCCCAAGATGAAGCGCCAGTGTTATAGTTATGATGAAACTATCTGCAGCTGCTGGCAGCGTGTGTAAATCGTGGATCAATCACGGAGAACATGTTCGGCTGATGTCTGCTGATGAATTCATAACAGTTGCACCTTGCATTAAAAACAGATAAACTTAAGTAGTTCATCCAAAATACTGAAAACAGTTTAAAAGAATTGAAAAATTTGATTACAAAGACATAATTTTGTTAGAAAGGCAGAAAATTAGTCTGTGACTGAGTTAAATCTGGGTCTTTAATCAAATGTTAATGTATTTAACAAAAATTAACAGCTTCTAGACTGAAACAACATAGTTTTTTTTTTAAATGAAGTAAAGGGAGGTAAGTTATTGAAATATACAAGGTCATCAGAATGTTCTGTAAGGTTGTCAAACAGTTACACATGATAATTCTTCTAGCAATGAATCTATTAAGGGGGTTAAAAATTGACTTTGCAGGAAGGACAGTCCCAAAATCAAATATATTAACACTTAACTCTACCTAGTTTTGATTACCAACTTTGTAAATACTATTGTTAAAGTGATATGAGGATTTCTAATAAAACCAATGATAAGTGTTGAATCCAAGAAACATTTCTGTCTTTTATCTGAACATGGAATAATTACTTGAGGTGTTTGGAATAAATTCCTGTATTATCAAGATTATATATTTATTTTCTGTTGGAATGAATCATTGTGGAAAGCAGAGGGTCTGTTGAAGTATTTAGTGGAGGGAGATTTTTACCTGGTTACCAGGTAGAGAAAACCATCTGGCAACTATCAAAACATTCTTACTAAGATGCAAACAGTTCCATAATGTACCCCAACCATTAAAAAAACACCCAAAACCAGCAAATCTGTGACTTTGGGATGATTTGTATAACTTTTGTGGTGATTTTTAAAGATGAAAAAAAGAATAACACTTTATTGCGTATTATAGATTTGGAAAGGGAAAAGTTATTGTTATAGTGACAAACCCTTAAAATTATAAAATCCACAGTACAACTCTAATCTTTCTCCATCTCTCAGTCAAATTTCATATTTTCTGACATGAATAAATCTACGAGCTTGGCCATTACTTACCCCCACAGAAGCTACTTTATCAATATTATTAATTATTACGCATTTTCCGCTGTAATTATTTTGTCAAATTCAAGAATGAAATCGAGATGGTAAAACCTAAGAAAATGATTATTGTAATAGGGTTATAATAAATTCAAAAAAATAATTAATATAATCATTATAATTACAAAGCTAAATAGACAGATAGGTTGATTTCAATGCTTTATTTGCTTCAATAGCGAAAAACGAAGATCTTTCAAAGTTAACAGTTTTATGAGAAATATTAATTTGGTTTATTCCTGGCCGAAGATTGTGAATAAAGAGGCTCGAAGATTGTGAATAAAGAGGCTCGATAGTGATTTTCATACATCATCTTAATCTAGTTTATGTGCTCCGTATTGGCAAAAATTACTTCGATTTGATGCAATGTTTTGCGATAAGAATGTCTTAAGAGACCACGATAAATCGTGAGTGAATAACAGAATCATCAAAGCGAAAAACCGTTCTGCAATTCTAATGGGCATTGTTTTTTTTTTGCTGATGGAAAAGAGAAATAGGATGTTTCTGGGATCTATATGTATGATTCACTTTCTTTTGTAGAAAATATTATGGGTGAATGTTTCTTTGAATATTTTAATAATTTGCCTGTGCTCTTAACATAATGAATGGTTGCATTTAACAAACTGTCATAATACCTTGTTATTTATAGTGTTTTGAGATTTGTTTAGGCAGGAGATATCTAACATGTCTTTTGGTTATTTCTGTATCTTTTAGTTAGTTTACATATTTTTGCTTTAAGTTCAATGACTGGGGCATTCGCGGCCAAGTGCACTTGTTAAGCTTGTTGGCTTCAATCCACTTGCCCTTCACTGCCATGGGTTTGAGTCCATGTCTTTTAGTCAGACAAGTTTCATGGTTCATGTATCATTATTGTAAAAGTGGTTTGAAAAATATCCAAAGTCCACTATCATGGAAATTTTCCACATAAAAGTTTTCTTAAATATAATCTCAAGACAAAAGGAAAAAGATGTAAATCAATCTTCTAACTATGCCTTTGCAATATTGAGGTGATTTCTCAAGAAGATTTTGAGCTTAAAATTGCATTATGAAGATTCTGTTGGGAATACGAATTGAGGCCTCAGAATTTCACATGGACTTGAATTTTAATCTACAATGACAGAGGTGGCTCTGTCACATAATGCTGCCAATCTGGTAAGGTGTTAGCATATAAATTACAGTTTTTACTTAGAATTGTTCAATTTGGTTAAAGTTTTACAATTTTTTGTCAAGTTCTTCAAGTGATGTAGGTTCCAAAACGTATTTTGACACAGACATTTTTTTTCAAACTTGACTGATATATTGTAGCACCAAACTTTATGAAGCTGTTCATATTGATAGTCTTATATTTGGAGAAATTTTATCGCTATAAATAAAACACTGGTAAATACATTAATTATTGGTTGTAAAGTAACATTGAACATTCAACTAAATACAATTATTGTTGAGGTAAACTGAAAATCACAGTTAAAGGTAAAACGGATGTTTTTCTTTTAATATTTATAATAATTCATTTCATTATTTCCATATCTAAAGCAAATACTTTTGCACCCTTACCCTGCTGGAACTGATATGCCACCATTATAGAGCCACAGGCCAGCCCGCATGCCCATGCAGCCTGACCAGGCTCTGTACCTAATTAACCCAACTTCAATTCATCTTAATATCCCTATAAAATCTAGAAATGGAAGCTGGACAAGAAATGTAAGAGGTTAAGGGTTAAATGCTACATAAAAGGAAATTGGCCTTGAAAAATGGCAAGAAGAGACTCTCACTGCAAAAATCTGAAGTATGTAAATAGCCCTATCTTTCCTGAAGAAACCAAGATAAAACAAGAGGAAGTCAGAAGTAACTGTATTTTGAGTTATACATTTACAAGGTGTAATCTGTGATATACAACATATTCCAGACATTATGTTGAGGTATTCCAGCTAATTAGGGAAACATCGATAACTCAAATACTGATACAAGACCTCAAAATTTTGGCATCGCTACCAAACTTGGAATTCCAAAACAACTGATAAACATTGATATTGTAATAAATAGGTATCTTGGAATTTGTTTTGCATGATATTCCCATTCACAATTTTTCTTTTTTGCTATATTTTTTTTTAAATAACAACAAAAACAAGCTGAAATTTTGATAAAAACTTCATTGTAACAAAAAGAGAAAAGAATTACACTTGCAAATTTCTAACATAATTTTTTATTTCATGCAAACGTTATGGCAATGATTTAATGTTTTAGATGTCATATGAGTGAGTTTTTTTGTTGTTTTTTTTGTTGTTTTCAACAGAATAGTGATAATGTAAAAATGATTTAAATTTAGTTTTATGTTTTAATTTTTAATGTTTGAATAAACAAGTGGACATGCGTGCATGTTTGATGTGTGAGTGTAAGGAGGGGGATGTGTGGGGGAATATTTACAATAAATAATGTACTAAAATGCATAATGGCTGTAAGTGCAAGTGACAATGCTATTAGCATTATTTGCATATTAATAATTATTTGCATAAATAATTCATTTATTTTTTCTATTCGATACCAGTATCTTTATATTAATGTTAATATTTGAAAACAAGCCCCATAAAAATCTTCTGCTCTTAATGAGGATAACTTAATATTGATTTATATGATTTTAATGAGTAAGAAGAAACACTTCTGCTACTAAAAACGCTCATATTTCTTCCATAAATGCTAGTAATCTTCATAAAGGCATCATTTTTGTTTCTCCTTCTGTCTAGTTAACACTTCTCTTATTTATATAATTATGAAAATACAGCATACTGTGAGATGTTCCTGGAAATAAATCAACCCCACATGCTCCAAATTACCCCAAACCTCCTAAAATTATTGCTAATTCACACTAATTACTATTTTGTAATGAAAATAACTGCCTTAAACACACAATTGTAACCGAAGCAATATTAGAAACAGCAGACGAGTAAATTCCGCAAAATTCCAAAACTTTATTTCTGGTTTGGTAGGTAGGTAAAGGGTGTCACGATGGAATGCGGGGCAGAATTTTGGCATAGTTAAGGGCTTCTACTGTTAAACAAGTATAAGAGAAATGATTTCAATCATAAGTAATAGTTAGAAGTGGTTGAATTACGCAGATAGTATCTGGACTCCATTTGAGCTACAAATGAATTCAAATACATTACTGTTCGACATCTATGCTTTAAATTAAGCAAAGCTGCGCCAGAACTGACATAGATAATCCTAGGGATAATGGGACATAAGCTCCACTGAAACAGAAAAATTATCATAATTAAATAAACAATTGTGTTATACAGATTCAAGTATCTTTTATACTTGTTTTCATGTTAAACACTTTAAGCCCTCAGTAAATAGTGTATCATCAATTAAGACCATTATACTAATCAATCTTGCTCACTTTGAAGTCAGCCATGATCAAAGGGATCATGTTTCAGGTGCTATTTTTCTGACCACCACACTCATTACTGTAATGAGTTTTTCAGCTGACCAGGCCACCATTAATGAACTGTTCTGCAATATGCCGAAGTTCATTACTTAAACCTTCCGTCAGGAGCAGGTTCTTTGAGATCATGTTTCTCTTAGAGTTAATTGGCCTTGATAAAAATATCCATTGATTTTGACCATTTATTGTAAATAAATAAAAATACAATGTTTGTTGACCTTTTGACTTTTGTTTCCATGTTCTTTTTATTATTACGGCAGTGATATAATTAGTCTATGTTAAACATATATATAATCTCATTTGTGGGTATTAGAATGGCATGGAAGGTAAAATGTTATCATCATGTAAAATAAGCTAGATTAGTATCCGAAATGTTATATCCGAAATGATTGCAATTATTTAAGCGCCACACAGGGTGTTAATTCATATCACTATTGATGCAGGCCCTGCAGACATCTTAGATTGATTGCTATCAAACATTGATGACATGTTACTTCTCATTTTTTAACCAATCAATCATCAGCTTGTACTGATGATCCAAATATTTCAAAATATTTTTAGGTTTTTTTTGTGTCTATGCAAACATGGGGCGAACTGATATTCTCAGTGACGCTAGGGAATGGTACAACTCCACTTTATAATTGATGCTGATATTTGCTGCATACATTTTTGATGCAAGCAAATGATATTAAAGATGGATGTTTCAGATTTCCATAATTATATAATTCGATTAATGTAATTGAGGTGCTTGGTGTGAAATGGTTGTAACTCCATCTTTGTTTCATATCAGTTTTGTCAATTTCTCCCCATACTTGTGAAATACAATATGTTGAAACAGCGCAATCAGCAATGAGACCTAAACAGCTGCTATTTATCGAAGCATTTTAGCATACATTTAAACTGTTTGCACATTTTCAAAACTGGACTGAAAATTAAAAATACAATTTCAAAAATATTTTCCTACAATAAGTTTTCCGTGTATTACAGGTTATTAGAACCATCGTCACGTAGACCATTAATGTTTTCACAAAGTACAGACAATATGGGTCTCACCGATATAGAGATGACACAGTTCGACTATGATGACCCGTATTATGATGAACGTCAGTACGAAGTAGAATATGAGGTAAGAATTTCTTAAATGTTATTATACATGTGATCGGCACTTCTCCATTGTGGATTCAAACCCAGCAATGTGCTTGCGATTCCTTTATATAAGGAGGCTAATTGAAAAGCAAAAGGTATTGGCTCAGGTGATCTCTTTCTTATTAGGCCTGAAATAATGCGAAGAGATTGTCTGAGGAATAGAGCTCGGAAATTGACATATGACCTATACAGTGTGGGTATGTACAAAATCGACAAACAGTTAAAGCAACATACTGTTGTTTGTTTTTGTATCAAAATTATGACTTTTTTCTTCTAAATGTGCATTTCAAAAAGTTAAAAGCTTTATGAAAGAAATCCAGTTTAATCAATGTTGAAGAGTTTGAATGGCTTCAGTAAAGCTCTAGATTTTAGACATTTGAGACATTTCTGACAACTGTGTGGCAGGTCCAAATTTATACCTTACTTTAAGTGATTGTGTCTGAAATAGCAGAGGCTGCCTGAATATTTGCTTCAGTATTTTTTTTACTGTATTTTTGTAGTGCAAACTAATTTCTTAGATATAAAACTTCAATAGAATGGTAGAAAAATTCTTAAACTTTCTATTTTAAGTAAAAGCAATTAGATAAACATAATTGGTATGTAGAGAAAAAATGTGCAGGTGCCCTTTAGTTTCAAACTTTTAAGAAATTCCTTAATGTATATTGAATTAACTTAACATCACAGCTACCAAGTTCTAACCGGAAACTCTTTATTGGCTTGTTATGCAAAAAATTTTGTACAGAATCTTGAAATATTCACAGTGACCAGAAGTGAAGTTCTAACCGGAAATTCTAAATCTATTTTCTAAATATATATAAGAATTCAAGAAATCTTATCTTGAGGAGTGCTGCTTATCTAGAATTGGAAAAATGTAGCTGACCACAAAAACTTTGATTGGGGAATTAGTAAAAATGTCAAATGTGCTGATAAGCCAAAGTGATGAAAGCTGTAAAAATAAAGAGAAATGAGGGTATTGGCATGCCTGGAAGATATTGGTTAGCAATAGAGGGAGATAAAAATACAGGGAGAATAATTGAAAATCCAGGGAAAGTTAATTGAACAACATGTGATAAATGTATTAATACTTGATCTGAATGACCTGTGTCAAAACTGCCCTAAATAAAAATATAGTACAGTGCTACAGGAATTACCCCCTGTCCTAATCCCCCACTCCATAAAACATACTGCCGAGAAGAAACAAACATTGTATAATTTTTCCAATGATTCTTGATTGAATGCACCATAATATGCCTGAAAACTTTAAAAAAGAAAATATTAAAATCAAGGTGTTAACAGTGGTTATGGCCTGACACTTAAACACCAATCCTCTTGAACCACACTCCTATTTGGCTTGAGTCCCCCTAGGAAGTTAAATTATCAATTAACAGTTATGAGTTATGCTTGATAAAGTCAGTTTAGACACATCCTAAAAAAAAAAAGGAAGAGAAATTCAAAGTTTTGATGCTAAAATAGTGTTTAATATATAATTATGCAAGCTGCATGAAGCCCAATAAATATTTGTATTGTTTACTGACAATTTAAATAAGACATTAAGTAATGAAACTTGTCCATGTCAAAATTGTACCCTAATAAAAATAATTAACATTTAATACAAATAATCTTGAAGTAACTAATATCAGCAACTCCACACAAAAGCCATACAAGTTGACTGCCCTGTATATTTACTGTAATACATATGTTTAACAAATGGAAATAAATCTTATAGTTAAATAAAGAAAGAGCCAAGAAAAAATTGATAATCGGCTGCTTAAAATGACTTATATATGATCAGGAAAAAAAGGGAAAGATATATGGTCCGTCAGATAGCCTTGTCATAACTTTTAATACGACCACCAATGTAGCTATGGTACACTTTTCTGAGAAAAAAATAGATATTTCTTATCTGTCAAAGAATTGTATCCATCTTTCATGCTTATCTTAAATTATTACATTTGGCAAGATTTTTCGGAGCTAAAATAGATTATCTTCAAACATATTGTGCCATAAACAATACATCAGATGAGGGAGTTAGAAATTGCTCCCAATTCTGTTTTCACTCACAAGTATTTTCATGGGAATTGTTCAAGAAATCAGAATTGATAGTTAACTGTTTATTTGTGTTACCTAGCAACTCTTCAAAAGTCAAGTGTTTGTTGAGAAATCTTACTCAATTTTGCATATTTAAGGATTGAGAACTTTCAAGTCTTTTTTTTTAACTGTAGAGAATTAATACTTTTTTTTTGCAGGTGGAAAATTGAAATGAAATTGTTTAGCTTTCAGTTATATCTGTTATGGTTTTTGGAACTTAAGTTATTGTTACTCTGCTTGTTTCCAAATTTTATATAAGTATTTCCATATTATCTCAACAAACAGTTCCAGGGTCAAGGCTAGGCCGAGCCCTACCCTAAAAATTTTAGCAACTATGGTACAGGTAGTAGTGAGTATGCAAAAATAAAAATTTGCTTTCTCATTGTTTTCATAAATTGAAGACATCCCAAGTTCATTAGATTTTGCTTAAACATATGTTTTCTTGAAATCTCATTTATTGAAAACTATAAAGATACTCATCTATTTCATTATTGAAAAAAAAAATCATAATTAAGACTTTTCTTTGATGTAAGTGGCCGTTTAAAATCGGCACTTGATCTGTTGCCCTTCGGGATATTTGATTGACAGGATTTGACCCACGTCACTTTTATGAAAAACGCTTGAAGATATAATATAATTTACTGTTTTGTCTGCTCAAAAAGAGATCTTCAAAGAGAAAGGATCATTAACTTTATAGTAAAGTGTCTCCTTTTAATTGGTTTAGGACCATAAAAATATACAAGGAGCGTGACACTTTCCTACTACTTTCATAATGGCGAACAAACGTCGCTAATGTTTAATCTTTCGATGGTAAAAGAAGGAAACTATATGATTTGAGATTTACAAATCACACATGACAGGTCTGGTGCTGATGTGACATCAGTAAAGTCCACGTGTTGCGACCTTACCAAGTGAAGTGTCAAACTATGTCATCATCATCTCGGGTTAAAAAAAAATGATGTTGAGAAAAGAGGAAAAATCTTCAGGTGTTGAAGAAATACATGAAACAGATGAAAGAGACTATAACAATGAGTTCTATCATAAAAAAAAGTGATGTTGGTATATGTAACAGGCCCGCAAGTGTGTTAAACAGTCCCGCAGAATTTTTTTCATTGTAGTCCCCTACTGTCACTGTAGCTGTAACTTAATTATATGGTGACACATTGCAAGAAAGATAAGATTTTGAACATTAATAAAAATACAAAAAAAGTACAACATAAAAGAAATGTTCAAAGGAAAATCAAGATGTTAAAAGGAGGAAAAATCTGGAAAGAAATCTAAATTTTATTTCATTGTTTACTTGTTAGAAACCTTGCAAATGTTCATCAGAATAATAACTGTCACATATTGAAACAATTTACATAATTTTTACATTTATTTACATCTGTTTGAAGTCCTTCAAAATTCATTTGAACAAGAAGCAGACGGCATTTGAATTTTGAATTTTTATATCAAATTGAAGGATAAGTCGCATTAAAGCAGTGGATTGATCTAAAGGAAGAAGTAAAATATTTCTGTAAAAATGGCAATATAATAATCTCATTTTATTTCTTTAGACAATGGGACATATCATTTGAAATATTTCTGTCTTTTTTTTGAAAGGGACTGTTTTAATATGAAATATTTTCCAGACTTCATTGAAGTATTACCCCAAAAAAACTTCAAAAATAGACCAATTTAGCAATTTATTGTCAAAAGACTCCAAAAGTTCATCATTTAAATCTAAAATAATCTAATATATTCTGGTTTCTGTCTGGCTCAACAAAGCATTATGTCAAAGTATGGATAGGGATTTGGCTAAGAATCAGGAGAACACTTTCATAGACGAAGATGATCCGACTTGTTTGATTTTAATGCTGCAACAATCTTTTAGTTGTAAACATAAGCATGATGTCTAGTTTTATACCTTATAAAGCAGTTTTTAGAGTCTTAGATATATAATGTAATGCACCTATATCGAGTTCTTGCAAGTGCAGGAAGGTCATAATGCATTTACATCTAGTACTTTTCGATATTTGATAATTCACATGATTAGTATTGTCAATTTTTAAGATAATTCGTATGTTTCAGGTTATATTTAAAATAAAAATAAAAATGAACACTTCATGCAACAATACCACAAGGTTACGTAGGTCATTAGAATGTGACCTCATCAAACGTAAACTTTGAGTTTTCTCAAGTGACGATGTATGAAATACATTAGTAAAAGTAGAAAATTTTAATGGAAATATATAAATATTGATTATGTTTATGTTTAGTGAAAACTGAACTGTTCAGTGATTTTAATTATCGCCATAAAAATGGTTACTTTTATGTGGTGACAAGAAGAGGTTATAAGTTGATTTATGATTGATGATTTTAGGGTCGTAATCATTTAAAGGTTGAGTGACGTTGACTTCGTAAATACTCAGTATCTATAATTATAGCCAAGAGACTTTTTTAAGGTCAAAGAATAATACGAAAAAGAAAAAATCACATAAAATATAAAAACGAGGAAACGATATGTCTTTAACCTTTAATTAACTCCGATTTGACGGACTACCGATTAAAGTGTCATGTTCAAACATAACTGGCTTGTAACAATGCTGGCTCTTAACACGTTAGATCAAAGGAAAAAACAAGATGTCTTCTCCACCTTTGGTTAGTAAAACTGGCTCCATAACGTAAAGAAAATGATAAGTAAACACTTATTGCATGATACGCTCCACGTATTGGCTTTCTAAGTCTTCAAAGAGAATGGACGTTTAACTATATTACAATAAATGACAACCGTTATTAGTAATTGTAACGTAATTGTTTCAAGTGAAATAAGTACAGTTTTTGTTGTTTCTTTTTTCTTTTGAAGATGTACGTCAGCCTTGCATCTCCTTTATCTAGCAGTTACGTTTGTTGTTGTTTTGCTCACTTGAAGTCAAAGTAAATTTGTAATTTTTTGGTTAATTTATTTGAAACCACATTTCTTGCATAATTAGCAGTCATGCTTTTACAAAAAAAACCAGACTCCCCTCCAAAAAACATCTTATGATATAAGTGTTATTCATATTGTTTTCTTTCAAGCAATTTTGTTTGAAAAAAAAGTTTAGTTGAAGTTATAATTGTTTTTTACTGAGTGAAATCCTTTACCTTTACAATTATTCAAAATGTAGTCCAAGAACATTAAACTCCTGAATCAATTCTTATATTAACAATATGGACATTTAACCGTTAACCAGCTAAATTTGTGAAATGAAATTGTCCAGCTTTGAATTTGGAACTATCCATGTAGGGATCATCAGATTTCTTTTTAAAAATTGAGACGCAACAGTAATTGCATGAGCGTTCAGGCTAGCCAGGCTGTGACTCAGGTGGCAAAGGTTACACGCCTTCCCTTCATGCAGGTTAAAGACAATAAAGTGCCTGCAAGGACTAAGTTTCTATATAAAATAAAGTGAGACAGTCAGATCAAGAGAATTGTACGCTTTCACTAAAAATTTCTAAATTGTTTCATTTCTTATTTCACTTTCACAGATATATAATATTTTCCGCCTGCCAGTGATAGAAAGTGTCATATGACAACTGCAATTCTACAATAATATTTAATTTCACACTAGATGTTTTAGTATAAAATACATGAAGAGAAGGAAAACCTGTTTGCTCTTGTTTCATCTTAATAGCGTTGGTTTTCAATTAAACAGATTCTAGTAGAATTGTTGTTTATTGAAAATGAACGTTGTATCAAGTTTTAAGAGATTCATCTTTTAATAGCTTAGCTAAATAAAGTACAAAATTTTTTTCCGAAGGTGACTTTTATGAAACTACTTGTACATTATCTCTATTTTATGTAATTGGCTCGAGTTTTTTTAATATTTTTATTGTAATTATTTCAATTGTTATCGCTGTTTTTTTTTTTCACATTGATTTTAATACCTAGAGTGTAATTTAAAAAAAAAGTAATTATATAGGGGAGGAAAAAAATCATATCTGAGAGAAAAGAGAAAAGTGAGAGACATTTTTGTAAAAACGGCACACATTTTAAGAAACATACTCAATCAAAAAAAAAATAAAAAATTGTTTAGCCAGTGCAGAGTGCTTTGTATGAATTATGGAGTAAGGCTTGTAATGTATTTTCAATCAAAAAGCATTCATTTAATTAAAAAGCAGGTTTACTTTTTATAAATCAAGGTAAAATGAAAGTTTTGTCAAAGTTACACTAAATAAAGTGCAGATGACAATGTTCAATACATTAATAAAATAATGAGTGCAGTGTGCAAAAGATTTAATTTATTTTTGGAGACAGAATATTAGCTTGATTATAAGGGATTGTGTTGAAACTGATTTCCTTGTAGTCCGATGGTCGCCACCTCTCGTGGAATTGGCATTGACGGGAAATTGAATTGTCTGGCCGTCCACAAGTTGATCGTTGTCTGTCTTCATGAAATATTGATGCAAGTTATGGCATAATGATAAATATGGTAAAGCAAGCTTGTTTGAACAAATAAAATAAAGCAAGGGGATAAACTGATTTGATTGGTTAATAGAGGGATCAGATAGATTTATTTACTGAATCTGGCAAAATATTCATGTTTTCTGTGATGCCGATATTTATATAAGGATAAATTACGATGGGAATGGAAGCTTTATGTTTGAAGTTATTGTTTATCTGTCTATGTTATTTGCTGAATATAGTATATGGATGATTACTTACACAGATAATATAGAATATTTATTGTTATGATTTCTTTTATAATATAATGATGTTATTTCCTAGACATGATATTTTGTTATTATATGATTTTTTTCTGATTGGGCTTTTTGTTACATAAGCAAATTTTTGATTAATGTTTGATATTAGCAGGAAAAAAAAATTATCGGCATTAGTTTCTTAATTCGAAACAGTTTTCTTTTGTAATGATATTATTAAGTCTATCCTAAATGTTACAAAGAAAGAGTATTCACCAGCTTGAAGGATTGCGATAATTTGATTAATCTTGTACGTTTAAAAAAGGGCGGGCAACTTAATCGTCCATTGTTGTTTTCAGGGTGTCCAATCTTAATGAAAATAACTTAAAAAAAAAAAGAAGGTGATTAAAATCAGACTTTTGTTAAAGTTTATGGTCTGGAAGACTGCGGAATAATTGTCATATTTGATAAATCCCCACAGAATTCTGAACTAAACCCATCGTTATCAGGGATATCATGAATTACGACCTTCTCATGAAAAAGATACCATCATATACGTTCTTCTTTGCCTTTGAAATCCAACACAAAGTTTTGATATATTACCTCGCTTCTATTGTGAACTGATTGATGAATTGGGCAGAAAAAGATTTTTACGATAACTCCACCAATTCTTGTGTTAATGTGAATAATTTATGCCCGCTCCATGATAACGGTGATTTGCGAAAGTTGAATATCTTAATTACTAGCTAAATTACTGCGTTATTATTTTACCTTTATTTGTTAACCAGTTTTAAGTACCATTAATGCTTTTTTTCTCTTATTCAAATTACAGTTTTTATCCTTTGAACTACAGAATTAAGTGAAAAAAGATATCAATATTTTCATAATGAATTGTAAATTGAAGCCACTTTGAGTAGTTTGATTTCATTGTAAAAAAACTAAAAGCTTTTTTTTTGTTTAATGAATAAATCAGAAAAGTTGACTGAATTTTATTGTCATGTATGTTTTGGAAAAAAAATTATTAACGCAGCACAATACTGAAAATATTATCATTGTGGTATTGTATTATTAATATATTATTATTTAGTTACACTTTGATGTTTAGATAATTTTTCAAAATCTTATTTAAAATAGTATTATATTATTATTATTATTTTATTTTTTTTGAACAGGAGGTCGTCCTTCAAAGACCGTCAGATGACGAGAAATTGGGACTTACACTATGCTATGGACCAACTGAAGATGGTGTCACAGATATATTTATTGGAGAGGTAAGGCTTCAATTTAGAAAGTAGCTTTGGTGAACAATCGCTGAAATTGCAAAAGTCAAGTGCGAGCTTCAGCTATAAAGGCCAATGGCACCAAGTAAAGCACATTCATGCAGTTTGAACAAACTTAATACAGGTACTGTTGTCTGCTTGATTTTTGATGATGAAATATTTAAACTTAACAAAAATGTAGTTTGATGTATAATTAAAACAGGACCTCGGTCATTACATAAATTAAGCAAGTAAAAGGTTAAATTTTCAATAATTACACTTTCCATAAGTTTATATAGCATTTGGTAACTTGCATGTCAACACGTTTAACCTTTTCACCAAACATTCTATATAAATGACCCAAGTAGGGGGTCGAGGAAATTACCATTCAGAAAGGAAATGCGATAGATATGATTATCTTTTATAAAATAAACTATAGAGGATAAAATAACTAATGTTTAGCAATGGTTTTTGTAGAGACAATTTTTATCAAATCAAATATAATTTGTATCAATCATTTTATAATGAGAGGTCAAGTCTTGGTAGGAGGTGAATGACCTGGTGGCTTTTGATTGGATGATGGTGTATAAAAAAGCTTATGTCTGATTTAAGAGTGTTTTAGGTCGTAAATCTGAAACAGTAACCTCCACTGAAGAAGGCAAATAGGCATAGGTTTACATTGATAGGAGAAAATGATGTCCATCATGATACAGTTAACAAAGCCACCAGAAATCAGAATCATGAGAAATACTTTATCATGAGAATTACAAATATTACTTGGTTTCGTTGGCCTAAATTTTAATCTAAGTAGATTCCTGTGTCATGAAAAAATTCTGTCTATAGTGTAGTGAGCCACATTTCATGTTTGAGTATCTACAGTGGGTGCTGGGTCAGGCTTAAAATGGCTAGAGTTATCATTCTTGTGCACTTCACTCCTCCTCAATGAGGTCTATCCACCTATGAAGTTTCAAGTTGATACCTCAAATACTTTTTGAGATATGCTCCGGACAAAAATGTCGGATGGATGGACAGAGAAAATTGTGACATATCTTTTAAATGATGTGTTTTAATAAATCAGTTGGACCAAAAGGATCTTGTGTTTTAACATGTGGTTTTCATGACGTAAAGTCATTAAGTCATGATGTAACACTTGTGCTTTGTAGTGGATTTATTTTGAACTTGGTCATTCTGTTACTTAAATCAAAGTGGAAAAAAAAACACAACATTTGTGATCTTGTCAGTACATTGTAGCATATCAAAGAGAGATGTCAAGCAAGAACTACATTATAACATCATCAGATAATTTTTGTAACATAAAGATTGCAGCAGGGGTTTAAGCACTAAAACATATGTTCACTATTGTTTCAAATTCTAAATAAACTCTTTCATCTCGGAACAAATTGATTGGTTACATGGCAACAGATTTTAAGAATATTACAAAAAAAATGTGTTTATTTTGATACAAAGCATATGGATCTCCATAGTCCAAAGCCAACCTTCAACAAACACCTGGCATATTTTCAGCTTTTGAACCGTATTTTGAACTGCGCATTTTTGATTACGCACAATACTGAAATAGCCACTCAATTAATCAACAAAGTGAAGTCCTAATTAATAATTAATTGATTCTATTCCTATCAGTAAATTGATGTTATGTTGTTATTATGGCGAGACTCATTCTCGCATTAAGTAACATTATTCATTTTTAAAAAGTTTTTTTTAACCCATTCATGTTCAAAGAACTCCATTGATTTATTGCTCCCAAGTTATCAACCAATCATATATTTAATGGATGTGATCACTGATGGGGTTTTTTTACATGACATTTTGATAGGTATCTTGTCAATGAAGTTAAAAAAGGAAAAAAGATTAAAAATAGATCAGAACCTGTACATTAATGACACATCAGTAGCATATTGGAAAATGATTTTTTAACTCCTACAAAATAATTTTAACCATATCGCATCTGAAGTTTTTGATGCGGAACAGAGTGTCTCTTTAATCTTGCAATGAATTATCGTTAGAGTTACATACAACTTATGTAATGCTTACAGTACAACACTACTGCATGTTTTGCATTAATTATCAAGCTGATGAAATTATTTGCTATGAAATTGCTTTGCGATAACAATCTGATTTCTTCATTTTTCTTTTTTAGAAATCACACTTTTACATTAGATCCTTCTCTAAAAGACATGCCTTTTTAAAGTAATTTGTAAAACAGTTAATTTGAAATTTGAGTAACCTAGGCTGCCTACTCAATTAGACTAATTTCTTTTTGAATACGGAAGCTGGTGAATAGAAATTAGCATTTCTTCTATCAAATATAACCATTTGCCACCCACTAGGAACATTGACTTTCCAAGCTATGTACCAATGCAATTTTGTTTATCTATGAGAAATTCCACAGTAGGTCATATTTTATAATTAAGGCCTTCTCCTATAATTACAAAGCCTGGGCCACTGATTATTTGAGGCTATAATTTCAACCTGTTGGCACATAAATTATTATAAAAGACATCTGATTCAGTACAGAAGGATTTGTTCACTGGTGTTTTCCCATGTAATGATGCTAGTTATTTATGATGTAAAAAAGCGAATTAACAAGTGAAAATAAAGTAACACTATCTCCTAGAAATATTGGATACCTCAATTCTCCTTTCAGACCCCACACAACTTGTTATTTTCAGTCTGTCTGTAATTTTTCTTGTGCTAAAGCAAGGAATTACTGCATGGTACATCAAGTTGGTAACTGTTGTTGTTTCTTATGTGAGATAATTAATGTAACTGCATTGAATTTTTTTTTAAAAAGACGTTTATACAAAGTTCCCCAAGGCAGCAGATTCTCTTTTAGCAGTAAGTTTTGTCGTCCTTCTTAATGCACAATTGCCCATGATTTGTGCATTACCTTAGTACATGTGTATTGATCCATGAACATTTTGTAAAACTTTATAAGAAATTGTTTAATACTGAAATCTGTTTTGCCATGTGGTCATGAGAACTCAACCAGTTATTCTACTGTAGAAATAACATGTTAAGTTTAGGATAATTTTTAAGGTCAAGAGAACCAACATAAGGTGTGCTAAATTGAGTTACACCATGTGACACATTCTCATCTTGTACTGGCCATATACCACATTTGATACATGCAATAATTATAAAAACAATTGTTTTCTTTCTCTCAGTACTTTTAAACTTTACAGAAAAATTTTATGTCGATGGGTGCTTGATACATCAATGTAGTTATGAAGGTAGTCAAAGCTTTCAGACTAACCTATTAGAAAAAAAATTCTGTTGTTTTCACAGGCTTCTATGTGAAGTTATGAGCGGGGCTTTCTTTTTTTCTCGGTCTATAATGCTGTCAACAAAGAAGCCATGATATTTAATGCTTTATTGGTGGTATACAGACATCAGTGGAGCATTATGAGAAATCTTTTAAGTCTTCTGGGAGAGTCTGATGACTTCTAAGACTGGTACTCTGTCATAAATGTGTCACTTCAGTCTGTGGTCATAAAAAATGTAAACCAGTCAAAAAGAATTTTTTTTGCCAAGATTTCTTTTTTTTTTTAATTCACATGCCAAAATTTGAAAGTCTTTAAGTGTGTATTTGTCATAAAAAGTAATTAATGAACTCCCAAAACTGCAAACTAAAAATTCCAGCCATCCACATCTGTTGAACAATTTTCCAATTCTTGGAATGCCCATGCATTAGTGCCTCAGAGTTTTCGCTTGTCATTTCCTGTTGAAGATTCATTCACTTCCCACAATGCAAATAATTGCACAGATTTTCTGCAATTCTGTGAGTTAACAAGATGGGACAGGTCATTAGACTCCATTATAGCAGACTTTACACTGTTTTTACCCAAGCATATTGATCTGAAACACTGTGCCGAGTAATTTCATTTTCTGCTTTTCACTGTCCTCTTATATCCTTTATAATAGCATGTATGACATTCGCCTCATCTGTCTTTGTATGCATTCTAAATGGCCGCAAGAAGATTAGATACACACTCCTTTTGATCTCATTTCTTAAGCCCCATAATCGGGTCTATCTTGGGAAAATTGAATTTTCTCATAAGTGAGAGATTTGGCACAAGTTTCTTTGGTGCTATGGAAGGAGTGGATTATTTCAACAAATGAAAGAATTCTGAATAAGTTTTGTGGTGTGGGAAAATTTTTTAAAAATTCGCCACTATTTCCTCATCTTTTACAAAATATAACTTATTTTAAGATTAAAGTGCTCTAATGAAAAATTACATGTATAAATTCGGTAGTAAACTGAAAATTGTTGTACATTTTGTTGATAAATTGTAGAAGCACTAACAGGTAGCCACATAGGTTGGATAAGTGCAAGTGTACATGTATTTGGATGGGTACATAAAGTTGCATATGGTAGACTGATTTATATAGGTACATTATGATTGATATAAAACACTTGGTGCAAAATTATCTCATCACAAAAAAGAACCGATGAAGAAGATACGACCTTTTTGCACCAATCTTTTGACGTACTCCCTCAAGTAGCAATCAAACTAATGCAGCTGCCAACTACTTCAAAAGCATTTCCAATTTGTATAATTGGTAATCACTTATGAGTGAAAATACCTGTACAGCCTAGCTAATTCCTTTCCTATAATCAGACCCAGTTTTCCACTGGACATCAAAGAAAATCATATTACATGAAACATTGAAATCATCAAGAATAAGTCTGTCCAAAGATAACAAGAAATAATCAGCCCTATTCTTCTAAAAGTAATTGGTTGAGGATGTTAAAAATCTTTTACCTGTTTATCATTTACTAAATTATCTACAAGGAACAATAACCCCTTTTGTATTTGAATGGAGGTGATTATTCTAAATTTGATAATTGGGTCACTTTGAGTGTTTGTGCCAGACATCAGTTCATGTCTGTACATTCTGAAGAGTCTGTTTTTTCTTCTTCATTCAGTTTTTATTTTTGAACATTGGAAAGCTAGAAATAAAGCAGATTTTCATCATTTTCCGGAAAGATTTGGATGAAATATTTTGATTTAAAAAGTTAACTGGAACATTTTCAGATCAAATTTTTTTTAATTTATTTACATTATTTTGAAGAGGACTCTTTCTGTCTTCAAGCCAGAGGGAAAGTTAAGTGCATGTAAAGTAAATCAATTAAGAAATGAGATAACATTTCAAAATATGTGTTTGGCTTTTGTCATTACAGCATTTGGCATGAAGAAATATTTTCAGAAATTAGTTTTTGATGCATTGCAAAATTCCAGAGATAAGACCTAACAGCAGACATAAATTTTAACTTTTGTCAGCAGAAGACAATATAAAATGCAGCAGAAGGTAACACAGAAAACAACTAGAGCAAAAGATTAGAAGATATCTTTAAAAAAAAATTGCAGCATGCAAAGTTAAGATAAAAATGTTGCAGACAACAAAAGAAAACTTGCAGCATATCTGTGTAAAGCAGTACAGACAAGTGTCAAAACATGTCTAATTATGAATAATCCCCCCAATGAAAATCAATGGGAATCAATCAAAACAGGTGTGAATACCTTAGAAATGCTTCAGGTGGAACCTCTCTGACGAGTGATTAAAACCAAACTGCTTCCTGTAGGAGAAAAGCAGGATCAATTATTATGATAGAAAAGTTGATCCATTCAGTCAGATGAAAACAGAAACAAGTCTGAAATGTTTTGAAACAATAAACTATGTTAGAAATGAAAGTTTTAATGAAAGTTAATGATTTTTTTATTTATAAAATTTATTGAACTTATTTCAACGTTAATTGATAAACATATTTTTCATTAGCAAATTTGAGACATCTTTGGTCTTTGGAATATGTCTTACATTGGAAACAACTTTGAAAACTGAAACATATAAATTTCAGTTGATTAAGTTGTTCAATTTGTTTGATATTGACAAAAGACATGTCCATGCCATGCCATGTCATCATTGAGGACTGTTAATGTATTGTTTAATTAAAAAAAAAGGAGATAAATATATTGTACGAAGTCCAGACAATACAGAATATGTAAGGCATAATGTACAATGTCCTGGCCATGATTTTGTCCAACAGTCTTTGAAAATCATTTTATTACATTAATACAATGTAACAGCTAATCATATATAAGAATATATTGTTGTTATTTTGAAGGGATATATCATGATGATCAGTATAACAATCAGCAAGTTTATCATTGTCTAACATTTCACATCTATCATACCCATTTATCTTCAACATCAAACAAGACTTACTACTAATCATTTCAGACCCTGATCTTGCTGCCAAATTGGCCCAAATCATAACATCTGCTATCTTGTTTTGTATGGATATGATATCTTCTGTCTGTGCATTATGAATCATCTTTATTTCTAAATTTCTTGTTTTCTTATATTGTTTCCCATTGTTCTCATTCCTGTACTGAGTACTGAGTTTTTGAGTGAAAGGAGCTATCAATATGTGACACTTCACTCACATGGCCCAAACTTATTAAAAGAAGAAAAAAACAACAAGAATAAACAGAAACCACATATGAGAATACATACTGGTGAGAGGGATTACATACACATACACACAGTCATGTAAAATTGTTTTGTGACAAATGATCTTTCTGCTTTTCTAAATAGTAGTCTTAAAGAATGTGAAAGGTTATCAACTCTGTGCACTGAGCTGATGCCAATTGTCTGATCTTGGTCTGTTCTCTGTTCCCTTTTAAGTCAGTACTTATTTTGAAATTTTCTCTAAAAATAATGAAATTGAAAGATGGACAAGAATATATTAGTTACTTACATGTACCATGGTAAGGGTTAATAAATCTTGTAGCAACTTGCATAAAGTTTCTAATTTGTTGCTAAATCTTTGTTTTAAACAGGTCAGCCTTTTGTTTTAGGTGACTTTCATAACTGAATTGTTTGTCAAGCACAGCTTGATAATGGGTTAAGATGTTCAAGATAAAGTCAGCAATATTTTTAGTTGTTTTGTCATGAAGATGGTTCAGCAATTTTATTACAGTATGGTGGTGGAAAATTAAAGGCTTGTGGCCATGGTAATTTTTCACTTTAATGAAGCTATGTAATCTATTTATAGGGATTAGCAATGTTTTTATGTGACTTTGGTGAAAATGTGAGTCATCATTAAGATCATTCTGCTAATATAACATATTATTATGTTATGATACCACTTTCCTGTCCAAAAATTGATAAGCTTTTTTAGCTAGTAATTAACACCTTTATTATTTGTTTTCTTCTCCACAAGGTAATTTTCTAAGGTTGACTTTTTTGGACTTTCCAAGTTTGATCATTACTAGTATGTTGATGGAAATTTCAAAATTTGTACTTCATGATTCAAAGATGTAAATTAGTTTACATTATTATATATTAAGACAGTCTAAACTTATGTTGTTTAATTGTTGCTGTTTGTTGTTGCACCTTATGATTAATGTTGGCACTTGGAGCAGTTGCTGTTTTAGCTTACCTTTCTGTTGTTGAAGAAGATTATTAATTGAAGCATTAAAACTTGAGTTATTCATGGACATGTTATAATTTATCTACACAAAGAAGTGTACTAATGTTGCTTTGAGAGATCACCTGGGTACAGTACAAACACTGCCTCTTTCTGTCAAGTTATTGAGGTGGGGTAATGCACACCTGTCGGAAACTTAATAAAATACCATCCTCTATACCTGCTCATACCTGATATACCTGCGTACTGTAGATGAGAGAGAAAAAAGCTTTTTTGGTAAAGTTTCAGATCCTAATCAAAACTGCCTTTTTATTGCACTGAATGTCATAATCATTTTTTCAAGTATTTTGTTATTTAATGAAAAGGGGTCATATGCATTGAGTAAGTGGCTGAAGCAAAAAAAAAAGAAATATGACATTAAAAATAGCTACTGATGATGATGATAATGGTAATGGTACTTTAGATATTGCTACAGGTGACAGGTTTTTTCATGTCATTAATAAATTATCAATAGATAAAGTTAATTGTCCTTTACAGCTATAAAAGGAAAATAAAAATATCAAAGCCATTGTTTGTTATTTATTTGCAGATTGATCCATACAGTGTAGCTGCCAAAGATGGTCGTATTAGAGAGGGAGATCAAATTATACAGGTAAAAATCTGATTGGTTAAATGTTGATTGAAGGGGAAACAACTCGAGCAGTTTTAATGTTCAATAATGGGAAAGTGTGAACTAGGAGGAAGCAGATTTTATTGGTTTCAAAAATCAAGAGAACAAGACTGGTAGAAGAAGATAATAGTTATTAAAAAAAAAGGAAACATTATTTTAGATATATATATTTTTTTTAAAAGAGGGACAACTATGTAAAGAAAATTAAAATACTTCAAAAAGAGATGCAGACCCGCCAGTGCTTATATAGAAGGTTTCTTAAATAATAAAAGAAAGAGAAAAGTGCAATCTTTATTATCATCAAGTGCATGTGCAAAATGTGCACAATATTTTAATATGTTGCCAAGCTTTTAAATAAGATATTCTGAAAATCTTTACTTTCCCACAAACATCTTCTGCATTGTTATATTCTTACAATATGGCTCTTTTTACCGCTGCACTGAAGTCTCTATTTTGATAGATATGAAATATTTCATACAAATGCAAAGCAAAAAAAATTGTTTGATTGATAAAGAGGGCTGTCTGAATGTGTGCATATCCTTGCAAACATTGCTGAGTCATGCGTTAAAAAAACTAGTTGTTTTACTTGCAAATCGTTTGTTTTGCATTTCGTGAATACATTTTTACCCACTTACCAATGAAAATCTTTTTGTGATTTTGTAAACTGACTGCATAGCATGAGTAAAAATTGATAAACAAACTTGAAGTAAAACATTTAAAGTTGACATTTTCAAGAATTTCATATACAAACTGAACATCTGAAGGTTAAAAAGGTTAGACAACTCTTGAAGACATTTAGAAAAAAAGATCGCCAACTTGGTCTGTCTGCCTGTGGGGTCTGATCAATTGATTATTAGGAGGTATTTTTTTTTGGTGAATGTTTCTTACAATTCACTGTCATACTGAACCTGTCTAATCATTGCCAATTAAAAACTTAAAGGCCAGATATTGCAGTAAATGATTTTGACATTTACCATCTATTTAATTTCTGTTTATAGATAAAGTTAACAATTTAATTCTTTTTGTAAGTAGATTTGCTTGTTAATAGATGATTTTATTATTATTACTGTATCAATGAACTTGATGTTTGTATATATGACAATGCAGAACCAACATTATTTTCTTGAAAATGTGTTCAAATTTAAGGGGTTAGACATGTTCTCAAATATGTGTTCAGATTTAAAACAGATATATGCATATAATTATGTGTGTTCATATTAATGGGAGAGATATATACACAAATAATATGTGTTCAAGAAAAAAGGGAAAAGATTTTATTTTCACAAACACTACAGTTTACAGTTTTTCTTTTGTCGAGGAAAATATACCAAATTTTGCTTTTCCTCCCAGTATATTTACTGTGCATATTCTTAACATTTCTAAGACTTTATTGTTCTGTATCATTTAAAATGGGGGTAGAAATAGAAATAAAAAATGAAAGGAATTAATACATCAAGGTACAAGTCCACTTCAGTCAACATTCCAACATTTAAGTGCCTGGAGAAGAAAAAAAAACAACATGTATTAGAGTGTATATTGCACTTTTATTCAATCATGCCCCATTTGCAGGATGAACATTTGGTTTGTTGTATAAAGGGGAGGGGGGATAGAATCAGGCATGGAGGAACAATCAGTACTATCTCTGACATCTACTTAAACTCAATTACCCAGAACTGATCTGTTCAAAGCTTTTTCTTTAACATAAAAAGAGTTAGGTAAATTTATGACCAAGAAATTGGTCTGAAAAATCAGAAATGTAATGTTTTCTTACAGGATCATCAACTTCTTAGAACCTGTGTATTCTAAGCTAATTGTCAGTTTCATTTATATCTGAGTTTGTTTTATTTATATAAGGGGAGATAACTAATAATATGTTATTGGGGGTGGGTGGGGTGTAAATAAAAAAAAAATTGTTTGATGTTATCCAGTTGATTATTTTTCCCTTAATAATCTATATAGTTTATTTGACTACTAGAATTCCCTCTTTTCAATACAAATTAATTGATCAAAAAAAAAAAGATTGTACAAGTTTCATAAAAGCTTCATGACGTAAGGCTGTTTGATGCAAAACAGTCATTAAATACATGCGACACAGGAGACTTTGTAATTTGACGGGTTGGTAAACATTTTGAGTGACAGTTCAGGAAACAATAAATTGGATTTTGGAATCATCGTTTGTCAGATTTTCAAATACTGTCTATATTGTTTCAATCATATAGACAGGTTTTTCTATATACTCATTTAATGGCTGTACTGTGGTATCGTGTATTGCAAGAGATAAGAGATGAATGCTTTTTGCATGGAACATGGAAATTATTACATTTGTCGTGTTTTATGATTGATTCTGGGTAAATGGATGTAGAAATCAATCATAAAATGTCTGTCCAAATAACAGCTTTTTATTTGCATCCATGTAAAGAAAAGCTTTCCTTTTGTAAGAATATTGAATAATATTGATGCAATATTCATGCTATACTCGTTTTTCTCCATTCATCATGGGCTTTTAATATCCGCTGCAAGAAATTTTTACAAATTACATAACAACAAAAAAAAAAAACGACTCAAAAGCTGGCAATTGAATTTTTCGTTACAATAACAGGGAGTGGGCTTTTTTTGTCATTGACAAAGATTTAATCGAAAAATGATTAAAACTCTGTAAATTTAGAAAATAGTAATTCGTAATTTGTGTGTCTCCCAAACAATTAGTGTGACAGATAGAAGATTTAATCAGAGTGAAACATGGGCTTGCATTGAGATATGAGCATGCTTTTTATATGGCCTGCAGGCTGCTATGTCTAATTCATGTTTTAATTTCCTAAGCATATCAACTTTTTTTCATTAGATGGGACAGATTTTGACATAAACTATCTCTTCATGGTACAGATACCACCCCCAAAAAATATGAAATCTTGATAAGATATTTTAACAAAAAAGTAAAAAAGAAAAAGAAAATCAATTTTTTTCTAAAATCATTTCTATTGGTCAGGCCTATTTAATCAGCAAAGTTCAATTGTATAATATATGAAGTAAAAAGCTGTGATTGCATATCATAGACACCATAGAAAAAAAGCAAGAAAAAAACTTTAGTAAATGAAAATAATGGCAATCCCCGTTTATTGGACTTTGTATAGGGAAACAAAGACTTATCAGTAACTTATTTCATTGTTTCAGATCAATGGCGTTGATGTACATAGTCGCGACCAGGCTATAAAGTTGTTTTCAGAGAGGAGCGCAGATATCTCACTTCTTCTGGCACGCCCACAAATGCAGGTATGAGACTTAAACCCCTTTAGCATTTTGAACTTTTGCCACCGGTAATAGAGCTACACCACTAACCTGCAGATCGTGTGCTGTCTGAACAGGCTCTGTAATGTTGGTAGCTCTATTTTCTTTTAAAACTTTTAATTGACTGTTATAAATTCAAAGCAAGGCAAATTAATTACTCAAATTCAGCTAGTACCAGTTTTAAATTTGTTATTTTTACAGTTTAAGAAAATGCAACTTTATCCCTGAATGGTTAAGTCAATGTCAACCATAGTTATAATGGCTTTGTTAGTTATTTAATTGGGAACCTGCTGTTTGAGTTATACAGTATTTAGTATTACACCTTTACAGTGCGGAAGCTTAATTAATTCCTCTAGTTATTGAAAAATTTGACAAGTTTACCTGCAGGAAGAAAGGAAATTTTATGCCAGATTCCTGGGATTTTGTTCAACAATATAAGAATGTTTGCTTTACAATATCTGTTACTTCAAACACTAATTATGGGTAACAAATGACAAAACAAGAAGGAAATTATCTAATGTTAATTTCTGTAATCTTTGTGTTCCACATTCCTATTGTTTTGTTACACTCCATAAAACAGCTGGTGTTTATAACAGTTTATTGTGTTAGCTTCCAAAATAAAACAGAAAGATTCTGAAAAGAACAGAAGAAAAAAATAAACTTGGTAATTTGTAGATTGTTTTTTTAGAGCTATCTGAACAATAGGGTTGCTCTTTCCGTTAGGTAATGTTATCTAGTAATGGTTTCAGGGTTTCTTGGTGAGCCATTACTTCCAAATCATAAAAATGGGAGTCTGTTTTAAAGATCTATCTGTTTTATTCTGCAATTTCCCCTCATTAATGGAAACTTTGATAAGATTTACAGAAATCTGGTTGCTATGGGAACCTGTAAAATGAGAATTTTTTACTGTTTTCACAGTTTTCTGTGTAGAGGCTCTGAAATTGAGATATTGATATGTACAGGGAAGCAACTCTATTTGACTTTGTTTATACAAGTCGGACATTTTTGTCTCCCTTTTAATATTTTCGTCAGTAGATTTTATACATCTCTATGTTTCATTTACCTCGAGTCAGATTATTTGATAAATGATTTCTGTTTGTTTAAAGCTGATAAGATTTGCATATAATTGCAATTTTCACGGATATGCAGTCATTATGTCAAGATATTGATATATTTTAAAAATGAGTTCTTAACTTTGAAAGATAAAGTTCTTAAGGTTTTAGAGACAAAATTGATAGGATTTCTGATAATCAGATGTTTTTCTTAGAGTTTCTCTTAAATTTGATTATTGTAATATTTCCTTGAATTTTGTTCTAATAGTAATATTACGAAAAATTCATTTCAATATTTTCTGTTACAGTTTGATGATGGGTTTATGGATGAACACAATGTCGTACTTGATGAACTTCAAATGGATGTTCTAGAGAAACATCACCATGACAACATGCAGATAATGGCATCCATGTTAGCCAGGGTAAGTTATTATCCTACAATCCCCCACCTACCCCTCACCCCCCCTCAGACTCCCTACCCTCATACTACCCCTACCCCCTCATAATCCATAAAGAGATAGAGAAAAAAACAAACACAACAGCTCAACAAAACCATCATTGTTTCTTTAATCATGGTGAAATGTTTGTTCAGCAGTGTGTAGAAGCTTGTTGTTGCCAATAACAACAGGTGTGTTTGTCTTTTACTGAGTACAGGTATCATAAGATTAATGTCGATGATAAAATTTAGAGTTGTTTTACCTATATGCTTGATGATAGTGCAATTCGATTCCACTGAAAACTTTGAAAAATAAAAATTAATTTGAAATCATTTCCTGTCTTTTGTTTTTCCGTTAGAGATAAGAATCATTTTATGCTTTCACACTGATTTCACAACAATTTTTAAAGTGAAATAGATTTCATGTCTTTATTTATTTTGGGTGTTCCCAGGATGAGAGTTCTTTGAAAAGACATAAAATAAAAAATCTGGTATCATCAGTTCTCTGCAAATTTAATGCATTTCCACATACAATTTCATTATGTTTGAATCTTGATATGTTGAACATCATTAATTATCATACTGGTATTTACTTTGATGTTTTCTAACCACCCCAGAAAACTAAATAAATATGTAAATATGATATTGTTCAGGGGCATATTTTAATGCTCTCTGAAATAAAAAATGAAATATCATCATAACTGTCCCAATCACTGTTAATGTACACAACTTATTTTTGCAACACACAAGTAAACTGTACAATTGTACATTTCTAAATCAAGAATTTTTTACAGGAATAGACCCTGAAAGAAATATTGTGAATGATGACTTTAATTATATTTTATACATAATTTTAGGGTCACCATTTTGATGAGGAAGGGGGTACTACTGATACAGGAACTACTGAAAATTCATCAAATAAACATGAGAAAGACAGTGGTGTTGGTCGCACAGATGAGAGCACCAAAAATGATGAAAGCTCTGAACAGGTACAGTGACTGTTGCTTTATTCTAGTCTTGTATATATAAATATCACTTATATAATGATTTTGTTTTATTTGCTAAGTTTTTACACAAAAGTTAAATGCTTAGACTGCAACCGATCAGCAAACTCAGATTATGTCTTCCAATGCCCCTTAGCACCAACATAAACAGATTTGAACATCTAACATGAAATTGTAAAATTTTGAATCAAGAAAATTGCTTGTAACTGTCATTCTGTATAAAGCTCCGTTTTGATAAACATATTCAATGTAATTTACATGTTTGACATAACGTCATAAATATAATTTAATTTGTTGTCTTTTTCAGGACGTGTTTGATAATGAGAGTATGTTAGGAACACGTAAATCTGGGTCATCAAAAGGCTCGCATAGTTACAATGGAGATTTAGGAGATCAAAACTACAGTAACGACAGTTTTGTTTCCAATGGTGACGTTTCATATGAAATGCCAGACAATGAATGTAACGGTAAATTTCGTGAAGTGCTAGAACATCGCTGTGATATTAATAATTTAAATCGTACAAGTTCACCACGCAAGGACAATTCTCGGAAAAGTTCAGAAAGTACTGAGAGTAGCAGTATAGACAGAGAACTAGCTCAGTTAAATCGTGAAATGGAAGGAATTCAGATGGAGTGTCAGGAAATGGTGCATAATCATGCGCAAATTAAAAGTCAGAAAGATTCGGTGAAGTGCGAACGTGATGCTTACAAAACACCACGAAGTGTGCCACGAATGGGCACCAGGATGGATAAAGCTAAAACGGGAGTGAGTCCTGGTCCTGAGTCATCTGATAGTCTAGGACGGAGAGATACTCCTCCCACTCCTAAAATGGGTCAAACCAGATTCGGAAAATATACTGATAAAGACGGGAACGTGTCAACTAGTGCCTATAACACTGGAGAAAGTTGTAGAAGTACGCCATTGACTCTTGAATTGAACATGGCATCTGATGAAGGTGATAAAGGTTTTAAAAATTCAATGTTGTGTTTAGCAACGACTGGAACGACCACAACATCTCCCTTACCGTCACATAGCGACACAGAGAAACAGACGCAAACTCCAGCTCCTAGGTCACATGACTGTTCTAGTGATGAAAATTATATGACAATAGCCAATGCAAATAATAGGAAAAATGTAGACATTGATAAAAAGACAGAGAATGGAAAAAGTCAGATGAATTCAGGTGAATCATTGCAAGACTTATACATGCAATATGCTGATGTAATGTACACTAATCATGCCAATCTAGAACATACAATGCAGATACAACAGAAATTATTTCAACAGCAGATGGAACAAAAAACATTACATCGCAGACGACAGGAAAGTTCGCATTCTTCTAGAAATGGTGGAAGTGTAAGCGGGTACCAGTCACCAAATAATTCTCAGCAATCTGTGAAACAAGCTGAGCAGACCCCACCAGATAGTGGTTCGGGTCAGATGGAGTGGGTTGTAAAGCGTAGACCGGATGGCACTCGCTACATCACTAGAAGGCCAGTTCGAAGCAAAATGCTGAAAGAACGAGCAAAAAAGATATCTGAGGAGCGATGTGGAATGACAACAGATGATGATGCAATGAGTGAACTTAAAACAGGACGTTACTGGACTAAAGAGGAGAAAAAGCGTCATTTAGAAAAAGCGCGGGACTATAAGAAAAGGCGTGAAATGATGGCGCGGGCTAAAATGGAAACTGTAAAAGAAGCTGATGAAAAGAAAGACATTGTTGAACTTAGTCATAGAAAAATGATGAAACATAAGGGAAAGAAAGTTTTCGATGACTTTACCACTGTGCAAGAAATGTTAGCACATGGTAGCAAAAATACAGACGGAAAGGCGTATAATCCTTTACTTTCTGTAACCACTGTGTGATGTGACATAGTTAATTTAGTAATCTATTTTTAGCATTATGCAGTAATGTGATTTGGGACACAATGTGCTATTATTGTGGAAAGGAATATTCTTTCATGTATATCAGACAAAACCAGTTTCGATATAATTTTTTTTTTTTTACAGAAAATCCAGAATGTAAGAAAAATTAAAACTGTAGTTTGGAGATAAACACTGTTATGTGATAAATTGTGAAGTTTGATAAACACTGTATAGTATGTGACCACTTTTTAATTTCAGGTGCTAGTGAAAGAGAACAGATCATTTTTAATCTGTTTTTAAGAATTCCTATCAATCTGATACAGGAAATATTTACGTAAAATGTCTATTGAATTCATATTGAATTATGAATGGAGAATTATAAAAGGTCAATGTATTAAAAGTAAGCTTTAAGTAGCTAAATGACATGAATGATTTCCCTCATTTAGAGTGCATGCAATGCTACAAGTATAGGCTTCTCACTTGGCTTAAACAAAAATGTCACTGAAAAAAATCTAGATTCTCTGTTTGCATGTATGTTGGTAAACTTTTTGTCAAAAATACTTTTGGCTCGCCTACCTATATTACCAAAAATGTTTAACCATCATTGTAAAAGTGGGTTTTTTATTTATGGATAAAATGCCTGTCTTAAAATTGACCAAAATCAAGGCTGGGTTTCACAGAGCATGTATTAGAAATATGAGATAAGATGTTTTTGTAACGTTAGCAATGTGCAAGAATACTTCGGCCATTTAATTAGTTACAAATTTAATTATTTTTTTATCACAGGAGCTGCTAAAGTACAATGTAGCTGTTGTTTGAAAAGAATATGAAAAAGTTTCTGTTTTGTTTATCTGGTAACATGTAGTTTATTCACAAAATGGTGCAATATTTGACTATGTAATTATTCGTATATATATGGCATATTGCTTTGTTGTTTTGTTTTTTTTTGAAAATTTGTAAATTTGACATAATATTTATGTCTGTAACAATATTATTGCTGTTGACATAAATCTTAGATCTGAAACATACTGTCACTGAACAATTTAAAACATGTATACAATAAAACGATTTATTTCTTTCTTTTTATATTCTGTTACCCATTTTTATACGTTTTGTTAATTTCTAGTCTTTGAAAACAGATAATATTTAAAATAGACCATAGTTCTGACTGTTCATTCTAAAATTAAAAAAGATATTTTAAAGATTTTCGTTTCAGTTTATTTGTTAAGCTTTACATAAGCTATAGTTGTGCATTTAAAAAAATCCCATTTCCTGCAATTCATTTGTACTTTGGGTAGAAACACTGTATTGAAAATGTTGTATATAATGCTTTGAGAAAAAATTACTGGCTGCTGAAATTTTGGCAATTTTGTGAACCTACCAAGATAAACTGAAGTTTATTGTTAGCAAAAAACATTAACCTCCTGGAACAGAAAATGGCTAGCCTTTACCACTTTGTATAGAGTCAGTTTAGCCTTAACTTCTTAGATTCAATACAAAAATATTTTATATCAGGCAATATCAAAATCCCTTAAAATTTGAATGGACTGTTCCAAGTTTAAAGCAGGGTGAATCCATTACAAAAAATAAGCAGGTTGACAGTCTGTATACTGGTAGTAATATTACAACAACCTGCATAACATTACACTGCAGTCTGACCAAACTCCAATCTGTTATTTGCTTGATATAAATATTTTGCTATTTATAAAAATTCTTTATACTTTACAGTTATTAGTTCCATAAACAGATCTGAGCATTTAAAATTTGGCTATGGGTTTGATATTATCTTAAATACATTTAATTTGCATCATTTTCATGATTTCAGGAGTCGGTGATACTTTCTCAAAGTGTAAATTATGATAAATGTGAAAAATGTTACATATATACTTAGTATTCAAGTTATATGTAATAGATAGATAACTTGTATTTACATATATTTCTGTATAATGCAAGGCTATGTATGCTTAAATGTGATTTGGTCTATACTCCTATGTTTAAAAGTTCTTGAGACATTTTGATGCCTTATTAGTAACATCAAAATGTGAATACTGTACTGTCATTTAAACACAGATTTCAAGACTCTTTGATTACTGATTTTGTATTTTAAGGTTTATTTTACAAGCTTACAGTACCAAGTTGAGTGTCAAAAAAGTGTTATATGAATAATTCCTGAAATGTTTACAAATAGTTTACTGTAAAATGTTGGTTGATTTTAATTAAAGGTTGAAAATGAATTATATATGTAATAATAAAAACAACACATTTTTGAACATAAACAATACATACAATAGTGTACAATCATAGTTTTTAGTTAACATTTAGATATGATAAAAAAAATAAGAGAAACTTTGTCCATCTATTCAAGCATTGGAAAAAATGATATTCACTTCAAAATGAAAAAAATAAGGATTTCAATTTTGCAATTTAAGAAAAATAATTAGGAAATAAATAAGAAATACATTTACATTACACTTTGTAATGCTAGATGGATTATATTATGCCTGTATCTTCAATATAACAGTTAGCTAGGTCATTTACATATCCCTACACATTACTACATATATGTTTTAAAGTGTTGGCTACTAAAGTTTTTGTTGTTTTCTGGTTATCCCTTAATTAATATACCATTTGGTAGTCCCAACTTCAGAGCAGAAAACATGTAAATAATTGATTTTAGAAAAAGTGTCTAAAAACTGGAAAATAATCTTGAAAAAGAAATTGCCTGTATAATGTATATATGAATTTTGGTTTAAGTGTACATTTAATTCAATGTTTCAGTCTAAAGCTGGTGTATATTGAAATAACACATTGTAATCATGTATGTAATTGTATATTATTGATATATATTTATTCACAAACATGTTGACTCTCTTGTGAGAATGAATGGATTTAATGAAAAAAATAAATTATTGTTTTATATTCAATGAATATGTTGTTTTATCTTCAGCCGTCCAGAGCTAGCAATAATAATGAGTTTATGTACACACGTTTATAGAACCAAGCCAATCTGCTCATCTGTCAGTGGCATACTTACATGGCTGTCAAATTGATTTTTTCAGTATCAAAACCCCTTCTTTAGTAGTGAATAGTTCAAAGCTGAATGGTAATGGTTATAGATAAGGTAATGACAGTGTTCGATGATACAACTCGTGTGCATTTTACCAGTCTTTGATTTTAGTTCATTATACCCCCGAAACGAAGTTTGGGGTGGTATATAGGAGTCACCCTGTGGTCAGTCAGTCCAGTGGTCTGTTGCATTTCCTTGTCGAAGACTAATGATTGGAATAAAACAACTTCATACAAAGGTCAAGCACATTGAGAGAAAATGCAGTGCACAAGAACCATAACTCCATCTTGACTTATCACAGAGTTATTGCCCTTTGATACTTCTTGGCCAGTTATGACTTGAAAATTAATGGTTTGAATTCAATGCAACTTCATACAATGGTCAAGCATAATAAGAGGAAATGCAGTGAGTGCATTGCACAAGAACCATAACTCTATCCAGAGTAATTATAGAGTGATTACCCATTTGTTACTTTTCCTTGTTGCAGAGCATAACATGAAATCTGTTAATATACGTACCTGGATAACCTTAATGTGTTGTGGGTGCATTTTATCCTTACCTTGTTAGAACGACATTTAAATCCAGCAGAGATTGCCACGGGGGACAAAATGGATTCTCGTGACGAGAAGTAACTAGTATACACCAGATAGTAGGTGCGGTACAGTCTACGGTACAGTACGTTAAGGGCGTTTACAATGCACAAGTGGAGCAGGAAACTTTTCACTTATTGCTCAGTACTGGTTAGTTCCAAGAATGGATTCTAAAGTGTGTCCATAAGTTAGCAGCTTGCTATACAATCGAACTTAAATGAGTTTTGTAAAAACTAAATGAAGCTGATGACCCCTTTGTTCGGCTATTTGCATAAGGAAACCGTAAAGCGAGTGCAAGAAGGAACACAGTTTCAGCTGGCCACCGGATATTGATTCTGCTGAACTACATTCATCAATGAAGTGCTTACGTTACGAGTTTGCTTGGGTTACCGAGGATGCCGGAAAACGTGAAATAACCCAAAATGTCAGTTTGAATGCTAGTCGTCCCACTACCGATCCTATTTTGACATATGCGCATCGCATTAGGACTGGAGAAATCTGCTATTCACTTCCACTGTTTCTTCATTTTGACATAGGCAAAGACGGAAAATTAAAAGTATAGAACTGAATTTTCTAAACTTTGCATGAATCAAAAGAAATATAATAATATTGAAACATTTTCTTTTAATTATTATGGGCAATGACCCTTCTTTATGAGTTAGCTATCATTGAAAGTGAGTTTTTGCTTGTTTTAAGCAATTTTCATTCAGAGTAGATAACTGAAAATGTATCAAGGAAAACGTATCAAGCAACACCTAATTGACATTTTTTCCAGTTATGTCCCTTTTTAAAGAAAACTTCAGTATGTTTACTCGTTGAAGCATCTAAACATTTTTTTAAATTTGCATTATAACTGAATGAATTGAAAATGATAATTTGAAGATGTTGGAATGTTAAAATTTTGCGTTTTCTGTTCTTGAAAACGACAAAAAAGTAAGAAAAACTCACATCTGTCCGTCCGCCCGTTCATCCATCCATCCAATCATCAAGTTTTGGACAGATAACAACGGTACATCAACATTTCTGATTGCAAGGCATTACAGTCAGTAGAAGATAAAAGGACAGAAGAGAGCTTAAAAAGTCGTTAGTGATTAAATTGGAAATATACTGGATATATTATATCTGTTGTAGAGCTTTGTAGACACAACCTGATGTCAGACAGTCAGGACCAACACGAAAACAACATAACCAATACCTAAAATACCTAAAATATACGAAATTAGGTAACTGACAGGGCCAATATGTTGTGTAATGCTTGAAGAATCTTTTTTTATTTAAAGATTCAAGTACCGTATTGATAAGAGATCGATACTTATCCATTCACTAATGCTGTAAATATACTTTTGAACAGGGACACACTAACTGCAAGCATTCATGAACATTGATACTGTTTGTATTGGTGTTTTTTTCATGATAATATGACAAAGATACAGGAAGGGAACGAAACTGAAATATTTCTATGACCTACTTGAAGGTCCTCGTTTGAAAATTTGTCTTTTTCTCAGCAGCGTTCATTTACCATGTCGCCACTTATTTGTATTTGGAAAACTATTTCGCATCAACGAAAAGGAATACAATGATTTCGCTAGTTTTACGCTAATAAGAAATCAAAACTCCGAAGGTATTGATGTTGTTTGGAACTACAAAGACTTCATCAAAAATTAAATTTTCCAGATAATGTAAACTCAAAAGTGATGAAGGTCAACGCCAATGCGTAAAGAGGATTAATTTCGAAAGTACGTGCACCCATATATTTTTTTTATATATTTAAAAGAATAAAACTTTGACCGGATATTTTATAAAAGATTATCTGTTAAGTAATTTTGTTCAGCTGTTTTTATTAAATCAATGCTACCGTCCATGAATAGTCGGCATATATCTCTTATAAGTTTACATCCCCCACCACTTGCGGTCAATTTCACGTCACGTCTTAATACTTACTTTTTTTTTGAAAATGTTAATTTGTAACTTTTGTAGAAAATGTGTGTATACATAAATTTGTAAACTTTTCACAAGCAAAGTTGTAATTTAACACCAAAGAGGGAAGTTATATACAAATTCAGATAATGGCAACGCCCTCGTGAAATCACGAGGATAATGTTCAACGCAACAATGGATAACAGTAAACAGAATCCTAATTACTTAAATAACCTTTTATTTAACCTTTTCCCTCATATAGACGTGTTTTGACGGCTTTTGTCCCCCACCCATTTTGAGGCCTCAAACAGTGAAAAATGCCCTATTTAGGTCCCAAAACACTGTTTTTCGTTTGAGAAATGTTGTTAAAAAGTAATCACTTTTTCGGCGCCCCCCCATCAAAATGATACATCAGAGGGTTGCCAGAAGGGGGATGTGCCCCCTTCTGTTTGAGGGGTTTGAAGGGGGGGGGCGGTAGTGCCCCTCATCGCCAAGAAAATTTTGGACATGTGACAGGCTGAAAATGGCCTCAGGTCGATCTTAAGGTGACGTGTAACCAACGCTGAAAAGCCTTTTACTCTATCTCATTGCATTGAGAAGTTGCAGCACTTTGAAATCAGTTTTGATGGAAAAAAAATTTGCAAAATAGTGAATTTTCGCAATTTTGAGACGTCACCCCGCTGCCATGATAACACAAAATTTAAGATTGAGCATGTTGTTACAGAGTGTATGGTTCAGTCAACATATGTGCCAAGTTTCATCAGTATTGAAGCATTTTCCATAGTTTTATAGCAGTTGGAACTTGTAACAGGAGGCTTTTCAATGAAAACGGCCATTTTTCACAATATGCTCATGGGCAGTACAGCCCATACTCGAAATCAAACGAAAACACGCGCGCCCATCTCAACCATAGTTAAATGATACTTATGCACGTTTATACATGTTTCATAATACATGTATATACAATTGTTGTTATTGTTATCCACTGTAATAATGGTCAATGCACCAATGGATAACAGTAAACGGATTCCAATTACTTAAATGACCTTTTATTTCTATAGGAAACTGGACGTTTTCCTTTCTTTGTTAAGCCATACAATATATATATATATTATATAACATCACTGACACATGATTGTTACGACAACAAAGAAGTAAATTTATTTCATGGATATTATTTATTACACATATCGCCTTATTAAATTTTATTGCTTTAGTTTTCATTATTAGGGAATTGCATAATGATGAAAAGCAGCACTTAAATTTAAAAATACAATATAAAACTATTTGCTAAATAGTGCTGAAAAAAACAGCCATTTCCTTATTCACGTAGGATGATAAACATTGAATATGATTGTAATAAGAATTTGAACATTGATAGCAAAAGAAAAGCAGTCAATAATATGCATTTTTATTGGATGTAAAATCAGGAATAAAACAGCAATTAAGGTAGTACACCCCTAATGCACTGTCTCCACTTTGAAGAGTATTCAAATAGGCTAAAATCACTGTAAAGTGTATTGAAACTGAGGGGGCGTGGGTTCAAACCCCAGAAGGGGCAATTTTTTTTCTTTCTTTTTTTTCTTTTTAACATTTTTTATTAATCTCTCAGACCCCCTATGGAAGAAAAAAGTGTTTTATTTTAATTATATAATTATTGTAGGTATTTATTTACTAAATAATGCCAAATTTAATAGCAAATATGATACCAGATATTTTCAAAGTTTAATAAAATAAAAACTAAACGGTAAAAGTATTTTATATTTTGCAAGACCAACCAATATACATTAAAGAAAATTTAGGCAAACTTTGAAAATAGCCCCTCATTTTGGAAAATTTTAGGGATATTTTAAATAAGGCTTTTTACATAGGGAAATGGTCAAATTAGTGTTAAAAGTGGGTGGGGTAGGGTTACATTTTTATACATATTAAAACATTTCGTTTAAAAACAATCATTTTGCTTGTTTAATTTGTTACCTAAATGTCATTATTTATTTCTTAACAATGAGCAAAAGGAAAACATTTTTCATAATGATGATATTATAGATTATTTAGAGTTTCCTCATTTCTGAAAAAATCCCTTCTAATGGCAAAGTTTTAGTTCATAAAAATGTCCATAACTCATAAACCACACGGTAAATTTTGTTTAAATTTTGCATACAGGTGACATTTAAGGCATATAACTGTCCTATGTTGTCAAATTTACAATTCCTTATAGCGCCCATTAGGGGTGTACTACCTTAAGTCAACTCATTTGTGTTCGCAAAGAACAACTCCTCTCTTTTATTTAAAGTATATCAGGAATATAGCAGAGGGTCGATATAAGCAAGTTCAATTAATGTTTATCTGCATTCATTTAAAGAACTTATGACTTTGCCCATTTACATGATATGATTATGGCAAAGACAAAACTAGTGATAAGCCGATAAACACCACTCAGGCAGGATTTATTTGCTGCGTAATGACGTCATCCAGTATGTAACTAATAAGTAAAAGGCACCAGAATGACGTCATTTAAACTGTATGGGTGAGGATGATAGCATAGATGTACACTCTAAATTTTTGCCCGAAAAAAATATTTACTGTACATTATAACTGCGTATCTTTTTATAATCTAACTTATACAATAATATTGAATTAAGATACTATTAAATTCCTTTTTAGATACATTAATTGTTTTTACATGTACAAGTGTGTCATGACACTGTTTGCCTAGTGTTCTGTTTTACGCCATTTCAACACATTTTTTGTCGCAGAAGTGGAACATGGTCACCGGATTTGCTGGATAACTGAACAGTAATTAACAATTTTTTATGAGAAATGACACCTCGGCGGAGAATCGAACCATTGTCCCCTGCTCACTCTTTTAAGCTAAGATAAGTTTAACTACAAAAACAAAGCAACAATTTAATAATTTGAAAGCAGATATATTTTGTCGAAGCTTCAAAGGATATATTGATTTATATGATATAAACATTTAAGATATGTTTGTATGAACATATTTTATTCGTTAAATAAGCATATTTACATACATAATATTTACAATCAAAACAAGAAAATGATTAGACTGGAAGCAACCTAATGCTTATTGAAGTCTTTTCCCAATGTACAAAAATATATGTGCAAAATAAGGGAAAAGAAATTTTCGTTTGATGACTAAGAAGGCTGAAGTGTTTCAACTTACATTGAAAAATAAATTAATAAATATAAATCAATTATTAAAAAAGCAAAATAAGGTTAATAATGATAATAGTTTGATGAGTTTAGATAGATGGAAGAATGAGAGAAGGAAAGAGGAGGAAAGAGGAGGAACAAAAACAGAAAAAATGTCCTGTGATTTAACTCTTAATGATAGTTGATAATTGTTGGAGAGTCAAAGCGAATCGATTTTTCAATACATTATCTTAGTCTGTAAGTGCCGTGTTACCAAAAGAATGATGTTTAATGAAACATGACAGTATGTACTTATACAGTTTATCAACTGAGATCAAGAGGACAGCCGGGAAAAAAATGACGAGTTGTTTTCCATTGTCCAAAGAGGCGAAGGTAAGATATTCTTAGAAAAAAGGTCTTTAGCCAAAGAGCTATAGTTAGTCGTCAGACGTATGTGAAAAACATGGAGTTTTATTTTACCATAGTAAACATATTTCGGTGGCTTTTGAATATTAGGGGGGGGGGGGTATACTCTGTTTAAATGACGATAATGTTGGAGAGTTGCGAACGTCACTTTGAAGACTGTTAAAGGCTCGAGTTGTGGACGGCAAGAAGATATAATAATATCATGGTACAAGCTCTGGGAGCTCTGTAACAGTTTTGATTGTCCATTGGTGGAAACTGGAAGTGTTTCAGAAAGATAAGGAGGGGCAAGATTTTTGGTCATTTTATAAAATAGAAGAATTTTGTGTTGGTTACAACGAGATTCAAGGGATTCCAACCTACCTCGGACATAAGTTTAGCAATTGACACATAAAGATATGTTAATTGTGAATGTTAACAGTTACAGATATATAGACATTTCTGAAAGTAATTCCTGTCAATTCATAATTTGGTCAGCAAGATCATTCCAAAATACGTCTAAGTCTTGACCATGCTCTGGGTATTCAAGTGACCGTTCACTTTGTAGAAATCTCATTATACATATAGGCAACTTTTCTAATGGAATATCTTCCATTAACACAAAGATGATCATTTTTCTCTTTGTTTCGGTTGATTCAACATGTGCCATGTTCATCTCATAGTTGCACCAACTATCTTTGAGGTATGCCTTGTCAATGAGTAGAACTGTTTTACGACTCATACTTATCCCATGTGTGATATTTTCGGCAATAGATGTACCGGGCATTGAATCCCTGTCTGCCACCCAAAGGCGTAGGCCGCACTCCTTCTCGAGAGAAGGAACCATGTAGCGTTTAATGAAACTCGCATTGCTCTTTGCATAAGATACAAATGCGTCATTTTCAAAAAGACGTTCGAATCCCTCGTGGTTAAATCTTCTATTTCGTCTGTAATATAGATATCTTAGTTTCCAGCGATGTTTATAAACCCCCAAGCTAGCCATAATACTAGATAAACTTCCAAACACTACACCAACAGTTCCAGTTGTCCATGTAATCCATGTCTTGTCCTGATTGGTTTTCCTGCTACACTTGTCCTTTTCTAAATAGTCAAATAATTTCTTTAAATCACTAGAATTCGATATACTTTTCTCCTCTGACTTCAATACACATGTATCAATTTTAACATTCACTTTGGTAGAAAATATCCATTTTAAAAACGGTAAATTGTCACAGTCACATTGAAAGGAATTGTTTAACAATATAAGAGTTATATTGCAAGTACTGTTTTGGCAAACCTTGTCGAAGTGTTCTCTTACTTCGGATGAAACATTTGTTAGTTTATTTTGCGACAAATCTATTATGAGCTTAAGAGATTCCGGCATGTAATAGTCCCAATTAACCAAACGGTTGGAATTCAGATCTAAATAACGAATATTTGTCAGCCCCTTGAAGAAGCCACGATCTGAAAATCCAACAATTTCATTGTGTGACAAATCAAGATCTGTTAATTGTGTTAAGTTTCTAAATATTCCATTCGGCCTATTAGTTAATGTTTTTGCTAACGTTTGTCCTAAATAGTTTCCGGAAACATTCAAATATTGTAATTCTGTAAAATGGTCAAAAAACCCAGGAGAAATCTCGTGACAGTAATTTTCTGATAGGTCGAGATGTTTAAGATGTTCTAGTCCTTTTATGGAACATTTCCATTTAGTGAATAGATTGAATGATAAATCTAAAGTATGAAGATTTGTTGCTCCACAAATGAACACATTATAGTCTAAATCGAAATTGAGGATACTCTTTCTCCACTTTAGCCGAAGCAAATTTGGAGGAAGAATCAGCGAGCAGTTTTCTGGAAAAGAGTACACTTGAAAACTTTTAGATTTTTTGAAGCAAATATCATCAACATTTACAGATTCTTCATTCCTTACCTTGCGTCCATAGTGCTCATTTATAAAAGGGTCGTAATAAAAATGCTGTCTTGATATATCTAGACACGTAATATTGGTAGCGGCTTGAATAGAATAGATATATTCTCCAAAAGATATTCTATTTCCTGCAAGTGTAAGGACCCTCAGCGAAGTAGGAAATTTACTTCTAGGGTCAAACACTTCCTTCTCAAAGATTTCTATTTTATTCAGATCCATAAAAAGTTTTATCAAAGTATTGAGCGTACTTAGATTCTCTAGGTTGGAAGCCTTTAATTTCACGCCAAGTCCGTGCACGTCATGAATCCGGTTTACATTTAAAACCGACAAAGCTGAAGAAAATTTTAATCCGTAAAGAGCTTTGTTCATTCCGTCAAATCCAAGTTTTTCGTTGTAAGATATATCAAGATGTGTTAAACTATTGTTCATTGGTCTGAATGCGTTTGCCTCTATTTCAGAAATATTACAAGATGACAACCAAAGACCTTTCACCATAGTGAGACCTTCAAATGTGTAGTTATGAAGGACTTTAGTATTGTAAGTATCTGGTGTGCGACCAGATAAACTTACATTTTTCAAATTTTGAAGGTTTTCAAAGTCTTTACCAAACGTACAGTTTTCACAAAGTTCAGCTTCCAGTACTTCTAAATTCCTCAAATATCCCAGCTCTCTTCCTAAGCAATCAAATGTTTTAAAATTGTTTTCTTTAATATTCAGGTATGTAAGATTTATTATATATTCAAATACACCTTTTCCAAATCCATCCGGACACGAAAGGGAGTTTCCCGAAAGATTTAGATATTGTAAATATTTTAAACCATGAAATGCTTCTGTTGATATGTACGAGATATTTGAAAAACTTAAATTAAGCATTCGAATTGTTGAAGTATTCAAATTACTGACGTTTAGAAACGTTCCATTTTTGAGGTCGGAAAATGAATTCAGACTCAAATCAATAGCACAAACCTTTTCATTCGGGTCAAAATTTGGATTTGGATATGAATTAGGTACCTCTGTCAAAGATAGATTTCTGCAGTTCATCGTGAACTCCATATTTTGAGAATACAGGTTGTAAATCGTGATTTTATCAATTGTACATTCGCTTATTGCCGCCACAAATAGGTTAGCAATCATCAAAATGGTGCCAAATAGATACGCAGTTTTCTTCATTTTAAAACCTTGTCTGAAATATACATTAAAATATAAAGTATTCAGAATTACTTTTACCCTCACATAGTTCATTGATTTCACACTGTAAAGAAGAAATTGATTACAAAACATTTAAAACAAGAGCATCGCTATGGCGGGCAAAATGAGCCCGAATGAAAATTTATAAGCAATCAAAAATAATCTTTCAATTTAGATGGGAAGAGACCCATTTCCAACACTTTATAAAATGTTTCATCTTAATTATCTTAATTACCCATATAATTTGTAACGAATTTTTGATCCTGTGTTCATGATTTATAAAAGGTGTATATAAGTTTACTAGGCAATGCTACATGCCAATTATTTAAGCTCTGGGCATTGTAGTTTTACACTAAAAAGTTCGACATCTTTTCTTATACATTATTCTACTTAGGGCATTTGACCCCTACCCCCAGGACAGGGTAAATTTTGAATTCATGGTCATGGTGACTATCATTTTGGAAGAAGACTACTTATTAATGCTGCATGCCAACATTAAAATGGGCTTTAATAGAGTTTCAAGATTTTTTTATAATTCTTCATAAACTAGGTTTTCTCCAGGGTGAGTCTATCTTTACCCAAGGGTATGGTTAATGTAACTTTTGTAGAGGTCACCTCAGCAATGCTAAATGTCAAACATTTAAGCTCTCATACAGTTTTACTTAAATGTATTTTTATACATATATCTATATTACCTAAGTGACCCCAGGGGCGGGGCAAATATACACCCAAGGTGAATGATATGTATCATTTTTGTGGGGATATATAGGGCAATGCTTCATGCCAAATATCTCAACTCTACGCATTCTGAGGATTGTAGTTTTACTGAATAAGATTTCAATGTCTTTTTCCAATACAATTCTACATAAATCAAGTGGCCTCCGGGAAGGGCCAATATTGACCAAAGGGGCATAATGAATTACACTTACAGGCTCAAAAGGTATTGCTACTTGCCAGAATATCTAAGTATTTTAGTTTCATAATAAAAGATTTAAATGTGGTAACCTTTTTAAAACCTATATATTTCCAGTGATCTATTTTGATCTAAGAAAGACCAAACGTGGGTTCGTCTCATCGTCTTATTTTTAAGAAACATTTCTGCTAATACTTTTAGTTCAAAAAAGAAACAGAGTGGACACGAAATTTTGAAATTTATAAATAAAAGCCCTGCACCTCTGCACATCGTCTCATTATGGTTAAAATTTCTGTCAAATAGTTTCAATTTCCTTTAATCGGTTCAAAAGCTACAGAGCGGACACGAAATTGGTAACAGACAGATGGACGGTCTGCCATGTGCATAACAACACACGCCGATCTATTCCGGGAATATACAAATGAAAATGTAAAAGTTTATCAGAGATAATTGAATCGCATTTACCTTATTTAATGCCAATTTTTCTGATTGTTCTCTGTACATTAAATCCTGAAATCTAATATTTTCTATGTAAACGATTATTCTAAATCACAGTTTTAATATCACTGAAAAGTTTTATATCTTTTCTACCCGGAAGATCTCGGATGATTTTATTTTCTTTGGTTTTACCCTCACGTTATAGGTATCTTGTTATCTTGATCCGGTATATGTTTCAAGCGCATAATCCTTTTTTAACATGAAAATCTGTGTATTATTCACAATTCAATGATATTCTATATCTTTATAGACAATAGCTACCGCCAAGCGGTGGCCATGCTCGACTTTTTTATATCTTAAGTCTAACACATTACATGAAATTTTTTAAGGTGAAGAGTAGTCCTAGAAAACAGAATATTCTTGTAACAAAATCAAAATCAAATTTGGTATTTTACCTTTATTGTAAAGGTCATACAGTTTTGTCATATGTGTTATTTTGTCAAAGAAGAATGAAATTAATTAGTCAATAATCAAGTTATAAACATTAAAGCAAATTTCGGTAATTTGATCTTTATGATAAAGGCCATTTTAAATGTCATGGTCATACTAAGATAATTCAACAGGTCAGTTTTGTCTTATGTGTAATTTTGTCCAAGTATCAATCAAATATGTAGATAAATAACAACTTTATGACAATTTCAAGTCAACTTATGAAACAGAAAAACAACGGAAGTCATCAAATGCACTGTAGCAAATATTGCGAAAAAAAGAAATTTTGTCATTAAAATGATAATTTCAAACCTAAAAAAATAAATGAGCGACACATATGCACAACCATGTTTAAGACAGGGAATAAATAGCAGTAACAAACTTTGTGGTTGAATATTAAATTAACATTGAATACAAAATCTACAGGGAGATTAAAAAACATATGCGCTCGAGGCAGTAGAAGCTACGAGAAGGGCGAGAGGAAGCATTACAACCCATAATAGAACGGCGGCTCAGCTTGTTTCAGCAACAAAAGCACAAACAAGATTCATCCGTGGTCCAAATAAGAAGGCATAAAGAAAACTTAAACGCAGAATCGAAAACATTAAAACGAGTGAAAAGGCAAATTAAAATTTGTCTTCAATAGAGCTCAAAACGGCTGATGTTTTGTCAGTTACTGTCATAATTGCACCAAACTGTTTGAAGATTGTTTAAAGTTAGTAGAAGAGAAAGATAACAAACTTTTAATTTAGAAGAACATTGAAAATTTACAACATGTTGATTATAAAGAACACAGCACCTGCTGTAACAAAGCCGCGCTGACACGGTACCCAGAACCAGAAACGGTAGCGGTCACAAGGGCGAAGAAAAGAGAGACAGAATTATTTCAATATCCGTTATACTTACAATTTAATGAGAACGAGACATGGTTGGGGTATAAGAAAACGGAAGGTTGATATATCACAGAAGTTATGTCTAATGTGATATCACAATACTTATTGCAAGTCTAATGGTGTCATATATACTGATGAAACTGATGACAGCCTCACCAATAACCTGAGCAAAGACATCAATGTAAATCCAAATAAATTTATAGCCTTTGCGTTATAGCAATTCAATGGATTTATTGTACATAACTACAAATGAAGCACGAGGACTTCGTGATCAACAACAATCAAGATTGCGACGGACGGCATAAATTCCGAGTGTATTTTTGTTTTTGTTTAAAATAAACAATTCAGCGTTTGTGTAAGTATTCAGAATAATAATTCTTTATCTTAGAAGAGATGAGGTAAATATATAATGGTGGTATGCTGCAGACAAGCATGTCTGGGAGGCAGGTGTAGGTTTCCCGCACATTGTGTGTTTCCCTTAGTGTTGTTCAACGAATGTCAAATCATTTTAAGATCGAAGGAATGTTGGTGTGAGTTCAAGTTGTGCAAAACATGCAGAAAACCGTTATGTTACTGTTCAGGCCCGGTGCAGCCGCCGTTTCCAGTTCGTTTCGAATAAGAAACAATTTTCAGAACGCAGTAAATGTGCTGGAATATACCCAGACATTAAAGAACATATTGCATGATATTGATATAAGTGCAAGGTGTTCCGCCATCCGTGTTTCATTGACGAATAATCACGTCATAGAACTCATACGTCAGAGAAATCCACAATTGGACTCTTGTTTTGTCTAAAGATGTGTCTAGATGTTAGGTATACTTCACAGATAGACGCATCAGAGCGTAGACAAAAAACAATGAACGTGTTCGACCTGCTTGCATATCGGAACACGACTGATACGACTGAGGGTCTCTCATAGTATGGGGACGAATAAGTGTCAATAGAAGAAAGGACCTATTTATCGAACGATTTTGATAAATATAAATGGCGTATTTCTGCAACTACAGATTACTTGCTTCAAAACTACATTGTACGAGCATAAATTACAATAATTCTGCGATCGACTGTATAAATACAAAGATGCTGGACAGTGTGTACTTAAAGAGTTTTTTTACTCTCCATTGTTAGTTAAACATATGATTAGTTAAAAGCAAACAAGTATGTTGCAATTCGTTTAGATTAAGTAACATAATATCTGACTTAAGAATAAACAAAGATGATCGAAAAAGGTTCAAAGACTTTTGTGTTTCACAAATGCAAGTATCTGAAGAATAAAAAATTTGCACCATTTATCAGCAGTACTATCCTAAGTATGTCTGATTCTAGTATATCGAATACAGAATGGTCTAGAGATTTCGAGGTTTGTCGCATGACAAAGTGTCAGTATTTGCTGGTCCTAACGTCGATGTCCCAAATTGTGCTGAAACAACTGCAAAACCGAAGCAACAATTTCATGTTCTTGATCATTTTTGCTTAAATACTGATACATGTATGTTAATTAATCTTGACAATACAGAGATAATTTTATTTAGTAATGGAGGTCGCCTCCGTATCTATTAAAAGGACATCATAGAGGGTTTTTTTACATGAAATTAATTTTCAAGATTAATCTTCCATTTGATTAGGTCTAAAGCAATCACTTAAGGCAAGAATTTATATCGTTTACTCACTCCGCTTTTTCCTGAATAATTATTTTAATTGTGCAAATAAACACAAAATTAAAAAGCGTTGCAACGCACGTTTTTCACTCAAATCGGACTAAGTAGAGCACAAATAACGATATTGTCAACTTATTTCTGAGTAGATTTCTTTATTGTTTTTCTTTCATATTTTTCTGTTTTAAGTGTCCCAGTTGATCAATGTACGAAATTCAAATGTTATGTATTTATGATTTAGGACCTCAGTGAAGGTCTTAAATCTTGTTTTCACTCTGTGGTCAACAAGTAAAAACCACTTCTGTTTGTTCATAGATATATTGGCTTGTTGTTTACACCACACTTATCATTAGCTAACTGGTTTTACAGGCCCAAAGAGCACTTTTTTGCCACCCAGGGTTAACGAAAACCTTTTTGCTAGTTGCTCATAAATGAAATACAAATGTAGTTACATACAATGATCAAACTAATTCTTTGTTTTAGATCACAGATCAATGGAAATGAATTCAATCCAACGAAAAAAATCTCTGTTTACAATGTGCTTTGTAAAGATTTACCTAATGTACACGGTGTTAGGAAAAACTCCAACTGTTTTACCTTTTACATAAACTGCCTCCGCTATTGGTGTAAACTATTATGTCATCGTGTCGTTATCTTTAATGACGCAAAATGCGATACTTTGATACTGTTATTAATATGGCTATGTCTCGATTTTTTAATCTGTTTTAGGCAACGCTTAATAAATTGTTGTACCGAACATTCGCAGTATAAAATTAATAATGCAATATGACATGTTAAACGTTGCAAAATTCAATAAATTAAATTTTTGTTCTATATTCAATATTTGTATTGTATAATTTGATATTCTATCACCTGACATCTATTCAGTCATTCAAACTATATGTTCATTAAAATGAAAATATGTGTGCAATAATGTTCCATTTATATTTAGGACAAACAGCATGTAGAACGTTATATTTTATAACAAGGAAAGGGCACATGCAAAGTTCGGCGTTCAAATATAATAAACTTGTTGAAAAAGGTAGGCTATGTTAATAGTAGGCATTTACTTATAACCTTTTCAAGAACGTTTTGAACTTTTTTTATTGAAAAATCGTTTCACTTTTTAAATGACTGTGAAATACCATGCTTTTTCATTGAAGACAATATTCTGAAATAAGGAATAACTATTTTGACTAAATTG